GATGGGTGAAATCACCCATCCACCAAGCTAACACCATTAGCTCGTTAAACACTGCAATAAAAGACTCATTGCTTTTGCATCGAAATGGGCCTTTAAAAATAATCTATGAATATACTTCCCAACTTTCATAGTATTTTCAATTAAAACATTTTCATCGTGTGGCTAATGTTTTTGGAGCTCCCCTGGGGCAGGGTTGCTCATTCAGAAAGCAAACTTTAGTCAGTCAGTGTCCAATTATACCATCTAACAATAAAGTGTGTGCCAGTATTAGACCCTAAGTTAACCTGGCCCGAGGACTAGGTAACTTCTGGGATTCCTAGAGTTGTAGTTTTTGGAAAACAACACCAAAGTCTCATGGGAAAGTACAGTGGCCTATGGGTTTTGCCCATATAAGTCCCACTAACATGTGTCTTGAGGCCACCCAGCTGGAAAGCTTCCAAGTGGTGGTTCTGACCAAATTCCATCTTGGTGAGTATTCAAAATTTTAATAAAAACTTGCTTAAATTTGGCCAAAATGGTAGAACTAGTTTTTTCTCCTGCAAATTTCAGAATTAACTCCCAACTGAGTATTTTAAATCAGCTTCTTCGTGTTGAAGCTAAATAAAAGTGAAAAACCTTCTTTTCCAAATGGCTTGAATCACCCACCCAATGAACTGTGAGTAAGATCTTGTTCTTGTAAACAAGGAACGGGGGATGGGCTCTGGAGGACTTTCAGGGTTGAAAAGGACTGGGGTCTAGATGGGCAGTTAGAACATTTACCTAGCATGTGTAAGGCCCTGTAGTCAACCCCAGGACTAGAGGGGAGAAAGGGCTAAGATATAGTAAGAGGGAGACAGAAGAGAGAGGGAGAGAAAGGCAGGGGGGATGAAAAGAGAAAGGAGAGAGAGAGAGAGAGAGAGAGAGAGAGAGAGAGAGAGAGAAGGGGGGAGAATAGAGAACACAGACAAGCCCCAGCCCAGAGTGTCTACTACCATTTGTAGCAACCTGAGGTAGGTCATCAGAATAATACATTCTGTTACTCTATTAAAGGTCTTCACTCTAGAAATCCTCAGGTTATTAAACATGGCTAAATAAGTACCTGAAACCTCAACAAGAATCCAGAAGCCTAGCTTGTACAAGGCTCTAAATGCAGCTGAGTATTGGGACTATCAGCATCTCCAGTACTCAGCAGGCTGGGGAGCAAAGATCTCCATGAGCAAGAGGCTAGCCTGAGCTACATAGGCAGGCCTACCTTCAAACAGTAAATAAAAAGAATTGCAGAGGATGAACTCCCCAATCTGCAGAACAGAGCTAGTAAGTAACCAAGCACTTGTCTGCCTGAAGAGAATGTGCCCCAAGAATGTGCCCCAGGGTTAAGTGCATGCCTTCCTAAGGAACGCCTTTCCATTGGACTGCCTCTAACATTCCTTCACCCGCTAAGGAATGAAAACCTGTTATCAGGAGCACTCAACCCTTGCCCATCTCCTCCATGCCCCCCCCTCCTCCACACAAAGTAACCAGCTTAATGGCATAAAGATATCAGAAGGGTGTGGTGAAGTTGAAAAACAGGAGCCCTGAGCCTGTCTCCACCCCTGGCTGAGTAAACATCAGCCTGGAGGCAGCTTGGGAGTTATCTCCCATGAGGCCATGCACCTGCCTTTCATCTTCTCAGACATACAGTCTTCACCTTTCAAAATAATCTATGCAGCGCTGGCTCAGGTGGACCCTCTGTCAAAGACATAGAACAACCATTGGTTGACATCTGAAAACCACTGTGTTTCTCCTCAGTGGACAGCCTTGTTTCTGGAACCCAAGGAAGGGCCTCACCTGAGAGAAAATGCCCACCAAGTTGCAAATCACCTTAGAATACAATTTCTCTGCACAAAAAGGACACAGCGAAACCGTGGCAGCAGTTTGGGTGAGTAATAAGCAAAGACTATTCCTACAGACTGAAAACTTATTTAAAAAAAAAAAACCAAAAAAACTTTCAAATCCACGCTCCACCTGATGCAGTTCCATTGAGATGGGGACTGGCCAGCCTGGGTCCGCAAGGCCCTGGCTAGTGGGAAGACAGCCATGTGCCCACCCAGCACCACAAGGTGCCAGGCAGGTGGCCTCATTATGATAAGCAAATCCGTGGTGGAGAAATGAGAGAGGGAGAGGTGGAATGGTTCATTCCCTGTGGAAAGACATGGAAAGGAAGAAATGAAGGCAGTGAAGAGTGGGCAGATATGGGAAGCCTGCTTACCACCCTGGGCCATGTTGATGTCCACGCCCAGCTGCTACCAAGGGCCATATCTGGGTCCCTGGTCCTACAGTAACCAGGGTCTGTGTTGATGTCCATGGCTCCGGTTGCCATCAAGTGCCATGCTGATTTCAGTGGTCTGGGCCACCACCTGGGGCCATGTTTGGTTTCAGGGGCCAATGCTGCCACTGAGACCCTCCCAATCTGGGACGCCTTCACTGAACCTGGGGCTATGGTGACAACCAGACCCAGGCTGCTGCCAAGTACCATTTCTGGGTCCATGGTCCTACCACAGCCAGGTTGATGTCCATGTCCCATGTTTCCACCAAAGGCCACATGAAGCCTGGGGTCTGGGCCACAAAGTGTGGCCTTGATGGTATCTAGGGGCCATGCTACTGCCAGAGCCATCCTGACCTGAGTGGCCAGGGCTAACATCCAGAGCTAGAATGTCAACCAGGCTGAGCTGCTTCCTTAGACCATGTCTGGGTCCATGGCCGAGCTGCAGCTGGGATCTGTGTTGAAGTCTGGTGGCCCCCCATTGCCCCTAGGACCCACACATAGGCCCAGGATCTGGGCCAGAGACTATATCTTGGTTTGAGTCTGTGGCCATGCCACAACAGGGGCCATACAGGTCTGTGCTGCCCCCTGGGCCCACTTCTGCCGAAGGCCATGTCTGGGTCCATAGCCCTATAGCTGCTAGGGTCCAGATTGACTCATGTGGGCTCTTGTTGCCATGAGGATGCCTAGGGTCAGATCAGCCACCTGAGTTCAGGTTGGTGTCTGAGGGACATAATGCAAGCAGCTACTAAATGTCATGGTGATGTCTGAGCCAGAGCTGCAGCTGAGGTCCACGCTAGGGTCTGTGACCCTGTGGCAGCCAGGGTCGGTGCTGATATTCAAGGTCCCTGTTACCATGGAAGCCATTTGGTCTCTGAGGGTCATACTGCTGTTGGGGCTTATGCTGACCTGAGTGGCCTGCACTGCCACCTGGGGCAGTGGTGACATCCAGACCCAACTGCTGCTGAGGACCATGTCTAGGCCCTTGGCCCTAGCGTGGCTGGCGTTTGTTCTGAAGTTCAAGTTCCACATTGCCACTAAAGGTCACATAGAAGCCCAGGGTTGGGGCTGCTACCTGAGACCTTGGTGTTCAGCGGCCATGCAGCTGCCAGAACCTTCCCAACCTGAGTGGCCATTGCTTCCACCCAGACCCAGGATGTTGTCCAGCCCAAGCTGCTGCCGAGGGCCATGTCTGGGTCTGTGATCCAGCTGTAGCTTGGGTCTGTGGCCTGTGTCCTCAGGAAGCCTTAGGAACCATGCAAGATGAAATCAGAGGGCCATGCTGAGCTGGCCTCATCCTTCACTGGCCCTGGGAAAGCTGGCCTTGCATCTCACTGAACATGACAGCAAGAGAGCTGGCCCTTGCACTCAGGAGGGAGGGCTGCCACCCCTCACCACAGGCCAGGGTGAACCAACCCTGAAGGCATGCATCTTCTCAGATGGGGGACCCCAGTGGCCTGGACTGACCAGCTCAGCTACCACCCAGTCCCACAACCTGGCCTTGAGTTGGCACACCCTAGCATTTACCCCATCTACTAGGACCTGCTGGAGCTCAAGAAGGGACTGATCCTGTGGAACAATACCCACAGGATCTCCAAGACTCAGTGTAGCCACAGGATATCCCAGAGGAGTTCTGGTGAAGATCCAGTGATGGTGGTGAGCCAGAAACCAGAGGCCTTGAACCAGACCAGTGACTCAATGCAATGAGCATTTGCTAGTAAAGCTGATTGAACAAAAGGGTATACTATGTGATACACGGAGGCCCCCAATGCCTCCAGATGAATGAAAAGATATTGGAGAGGTAGGATAGAAGGAAGAGCAAAGAGGCTGTTGTTTTTTGTTTGTGTGTTTGTTTTGGGGTTTGTTGTTGTTCTTGTTTCCATTTGTTTGCTTACTTTGTTTCGTGGGGGAGATGCAGGCGTGGTGAGGGGAGGATATGGGGCAGGGGGGGACCAGGAGGTGAGTGGAATTGGGATACATGATGTGAAACTCCCAAAGAATCAATAGACAAATTTAAAAGCCAAGGCTGTTACACAGAGAAAGCCTGTCCTCAGGGAGAAAAACATCTTTCAAAAGGTAACAACAATAAAAATAATTTAGGATTGAGAATCCTGTGTGTGACATAGGGATCTCAAAATTACATACAGATACATGGATTTATTTTTTTTAATTAATTTATTTACCTTTATTTTTTGTGCATTGGTGTGAAAGTGTCAAATCCCCTGGAACTGGAGTCACAGACAGTTGTGAGCTGCCAAGTAGGTGCTGGGAATTGACCCTGGGTCTTCTACAAGAGTGGTCAGTGCTCTTAACTGCTGAATCATCTCTCCAGTTCCTTTTATTTATCTATTTATTTATCTATTTATTTAGTCAGTTAATTTTGAGAGAGGGTCTCTCTGTGTAATTCTGACTGTCCTGGAACTCTACACAGATCAGGCTGGCTTCGAACTCACAGAAGTCCACCTGTCTCTGCCTCCTGAGTGCTAGAACTAAAGATGTTCTTGACTACATGCTCCTCATCACAGAAATCATGAAAATCAGCCCTTCCTATGTCCAGTGCCCTAAAGTTTAAGAGTTCTGGCTTTGGGCCACCATGCTCCTAACTGAAGCCTAGACACTCAGCACCCAGCACCCAGCACCCAACACCCACCCCTTACAGTTGGGCCCTCCGGTAATAGGTTTCATAGGTAAGATCTCACTGTACAAAAAAAGAAGAAAGAAAAAAAAAAAAAACCAGAAATCCACATCTGAAAAAACCCAAACAAACAAATCAGCAGACTTTGATTAAGACACGTGCCCCTCCTGTGAGCACTGACAGTCGGCATGGTTTGTCACGGCACTTTGAGGTAGCATGTTCTGTAAAGAAACACAAGTCACGGAGACACAAGGTACAGGCATCAGCCTCGACCCTTCATGTAGGAAGATGAGCTTGTCCGTGTTCACTGCTAATGCCGGCCCGGACATGCCTGGCTGTTCATTCACCCACCTCCGTGCTGTGCAGCAGCACTCCAATGCATCTTCCTTATCTGCAAGGCCAGCCTCCTTTGCCAAATGTGTCCCCACCGGCTGGAGAGAAACCCAGTAGAAGGGGCACTGAGCATCACGGTGTCCCTTCTTATTGTGTTTGACAACTACATTCACTAGGAGAGGCTCCTCTTTAAGGCTACAAAGAGGTCCATGTTGTCTCCATGATTCTAAGACTCAAAAAGGTGTCTTCTTCCTCCCCTTGGATACAATATTTATGGAGAAGCAGTAAGCTCTCTGGGATTTTCTGATAGGATGATGAGCAGAGACGCTTAAAAGAAAAAAAACCCACACACCAAAACAACAAAACACAGGTACAAGATCAAAACCAAGGACAGGTTTCATTTTGCAAGTTAATTTGGGGGTGGGGGTGTGTTTTAGACACGGTTTCTCTATGTAGCCAGGGCTGTCCTGTAACTCACTATGTAGACCAGGCTGGCGGTTTGCCTCTGGAAAGCTGGGAGTGAAGGCATGAGGCACCACACCTGGCTCCCTTTGGCAAGTTAAAAAGACAAGGGTTTACAGTTTGGGAAGTAAGTGGCTTACTTCTTTGAAAGAAAAGTCCATTCAGGTCTGCATTTTACATACAAATATACAATCAAGAGAGGTTAAGGATTAAAGCTGCAAAAGGCCCACCAACTTCAGACCTGGGGGCAAGTAATGGTTTGTTTTTTTTGCTCAATGGTCACAGATCAAAAAGATTTCAAAAGCCCTTTGTTCGAATAGGGTTCCCTCTTTGAAAGGTGAACCCTCAAAAATAATCAATACACAAGTGAATAAAAAAGTACATGTCCAAGCAAGAAGGGCATGTTCTGGGCCTGAGTTGCCACTTTAAACGGTATCTGGCATCACACAAAACCTCACAGCCTGCCCAGAAATGAGCCTTGGGCATCACTGATCAAGTCGACTGCATAAGGAGCATTAGACTTCAAGTATTGAGGTGCTACAGCAGCCACTCGGAAGCCCTCCCGCACCCCACTCTATAAAAAGGGAAGCACTGCTGACTGGCTTATGAATTTGAGGGGTAAGAAAATTTGCTCTCCGAACTCAGCAGCCTCAGGAAGACAAAGGGTTCTTGACCATCTGGGCAATGCCAAGGTGCTCGAGCTGGCACTCGAGCGATTGCTTTGAGTTCTTTCTCTCTCCCTTTTGTATCAAACAGGAAAATGGTTCCATTGGGTTAACAGTGTCATCTTAAAATGCCATAAATTAAATAAGTTAGTTCACATTTTTTTTTCTTTCCCAGCACTTAAATTACAGTCAGTCTCTAAAGCACTTTCAAAGCCTGCTGTAACAGTTCGAGGTCTCTTCTGTGGACACTGCTGGCCCTGGGGCACCCGTAGTCCTCCATCTGCAAAGGGAGGTACTGCTCAAGCACCCCCAGGCCCTGCTCAGCAGGACTGGTGAACAGCTTAGTCCATGATGGTCTAAAGTTTCCGCTGAATCCCAAAAATACAATACTGCCTATAAAGAGAGAGAGAGAAAAATGTAGTGTATAGCTACCAGTTCCAGCAAGATAATGAGGGAGGCGAGTCAGAGTGGAGCATGTGCTGGCGCATACACACACTTGTACACAAGCACACACATACACACACATGCACACACATATGTATTGATAAAAACACCCGCACTTCCTTACATCAGCAAGCAATTCTTGCCACCCAGATGATACGCCATAACCCAACACACTTCCTCTGACACAGTTCTTTATGAAGAAATTATTTCAAGGATGCTCCCTCCAGGAAGAGCTCATGAAAACAGCATAACAGGGGCTGAAGAGATAGCTCAGAGGTTAAGAGCACTGACTGCTCTTCTATAGGACCTGAGTTCAATTCCCAGCAACCACATGGTGGCTCACAACCATCCATTATGAGACCTGGTGCCCTCTTCTGGTGTGCAGATATACATGGAAGCAGAATGTTGTATACATAATAAAAAAGAAAAGAAAACAGCCTAGCAGATAAACACCACCTTAAAAGTATTTTCACTGCTGCATCATAAGGACATCATAGGACACTGCAAATACAAACCTTTGCTATACAGATGTGCTGGTTTGACCAATCCCAGAAGTACTAATGAATCAGAGATATTCATCTGTTTTATTTCCCCTCTCGTGCTCAACAGAACGATTGACCTGCGGGCAGAGTTAGACAATCAGAACCAATGCCAGTCATTCAACACGGATTTACTGAAGATCTTTCTGGACTGAGAGTCATGGAGGAACACTGGACAAAAGCAAATTTAGAAGGGAAAACATGCCTGATGCTTTTCATCCCCGCTGACACAAGTCCCAACTCCCTGCTGCAAAGGGAACTTCTTATGGTTTTAGGAGGGTCGTAACACGGGGAAACACAAAGGTATGGAAACCAAGAGTCATGTAGGCACAGGGGCAAACTGGAACCCAGCCTTTCAAGGACTGGTCTACCCAGAGAGGGTGCCTTGGGTTTCTCTCTGTCATTGCCTCTTTATTGTGAATGGGTAAACACAAACTTAAAACGTAAAGATTAGGGTTAGAGTGCAGATCAATGGTGCGGAGCTCATCTAGCATAGTGAGGCCCTAGACTCACTCCCCAGTACTACATATAACAGCAACAAACAAAAACAAACATGAGCTGTTCTCTGTGGTTTGAAAAAGATTTTTTTTTTAAATTTGTTTAATTGACATCTTTAGGGCTACTGAGGTGGCTTGGCAGTTGAGAGCAGTTGCTGTTCCACTGGAGGACTGAGGTTTTTGATTCCCAGCACCTACAAGAAAGCTCACAACCACCCGTAACTCCAGCTCTACTAGATCTGATGTCTTCTTCTGGTCTCTGCAGGCTCAAGGCACATACATACACATAAAAATAGTAAAAAAAAATTTTAAAAGTCATCTTCAATGTACAGTAAAAATCAACACAATATTCAGAGCTGTTTGTGGATTCTTGCTTCTCTTCCTGGTATAGTTGCTATGGCTTCATACTTTATTGTAGTATCTGACCAATAAGAGCTTTTATTGGTATAATTTCTTAGAGAGAGAAAGAGAGCAAGAGAGAGAGGGGGGGAGGGAGAGAGCTAGCTTACCACTGTAATACCAGCTGCCAAGTACAATAGAAAAAAAAGCTGTTTGCTCCCATGTACAGAAAGTGTGCTACTTGTATAATTTAATTTAGTGAGGGGCATCTTGTAATATTAATTTCCATTCAGAAAGAGTCCCTTCTTTAAACTCTGGCTGCAACTCCTTTAGCAATGCAGATAGTCTTAATTTGGACTTTGACAAGTGCTTACGACCAGAACTATGGAGTAGGCTCTTGGTTGTAGTTCTCCTAAAGCAGTAGTAATTGGATTCAGAATTATTACAGAGGATGGCCACAGAAGTCCTGCAGATCTGAACTTCAACAGCATGGAATTATCAGGCCAGTCTGGGGAGATCCTTACCAGATGTATGCAAGCAAGCACATGCACACACACAGGCAGTCCACCCACAAGCTCTCAGAAAGTCACTGTCAGTTGCACCTTAACTTCATTCTGAAGCCCTGGCTGACTGGACCTTCCTAAGTAGACCAGGTTGGCCTCAACCTTCTAGTGATCCTCCTGCCTCTGCTTCCAGAACACCAAGACTACCACTACTACTGGCCCCTGCCCTATAACTTCTTGACACTGTATTAAAATGCAATACACACATGTAGCAATCCTAGGGTTCAATGCATAAGCCTCTGAAAACTAAACACAGTAATAGAACCAGCAGGCAGCTGGAGAAATAGCTCACTATAAAAAGTTTCTCCTTAGGTAGCCGTTTTAAATCTTCAGTGTGTAGGGTACCTGGCAAAACAAGTATTTACATGTTTTCTACTATTTGGTGAGATTTGTATCCTGAGTTGTTTGAGGAAAAGTGAGAATATGGGTTTTTAAACACTGAGAAAAATCTTTAAATACTGAAACCTCAGAAAGGAATCCTCTAAAATTATCCTAACAATAAGATGGTCCTATAGCTAGCTGATCCTCTTATCCACAGGCTCTGCAAACCTGATAACCTGAGTTCGATTCCCAGAACACAAGTGGTGGAATGAGAAGAACCGCAAGATATTCTCGGATCACTGTATGTGCACCTTGGCATGCATGGGCAAAGGGAACAGAATGAAAAATTGGGGAGGGGAAATCTGCATGTATACTGGATACAAACACACTTCATCCCTTATCACTGTTCCTAAATAATACAATATAACAAGTATTTACATGGCATTTACTCGGGCCTCACCATTATTCAGAGAGAGGATTTAAGGCATACAGAAGGACTATGAAGGTTATATGCAAATATTACACCATCTTAAATAAGGGAAACAGATATCTGCAGGGGGAACTAAAACCAAACTTCTGTGGATACTGAAGGAAGACTACTGAAGGAATGACCTCCTCCACACATACCATACCTTACACACACACACACACACACACACAGAGAGAGAGAGAGAGAGAGAGAGAGAGAGAGAGAGAGAGAGAGAGAGAGAGAGAGAGAGCGAAAGTGATCCAAAGACTTTATGGGACTTATTGGGAGCTAGTTCTGCAGGCTACAAGAACATATACCTTCAGATCAATGGAAATGACTAGAAGACCAGGTGAGTCTCACTCTACAGGAAACTTATGCTCTTTCAGTAAATGGCTGCACTTAATATCTACCACAGAACAGCAAGGATCTTGAATTCGTCTCCCTCTCCTCACACCAGTCTGGTCAATCCAGAAAATGAAATGTTTTCCATGGCCTCTTTTTCTCAGAGATAAATGACAACAGAAATCAGACCCTGCTCTTAAAAAAGAGCAGGGACACACAACCATTTAAAAATTAAGTTATTCTTTCCCAGATACCAAGTGACCTGGGCGATGGTGTCCTGAATCCCAGTCACTGTACAAAGCTTTGTGAGACTCCATCAGTGGGAGCAACAGCCACTAAAGAAAACTACCTCACAGAGCCTGAAATGCTCATGGAGTAAACCGCTCAGAAGTAAGCATGGAAGTGAGGAGTCATGTCTTAAGGTAGCTTTTCTCTGGTGCAGGGCAAGCTTGACCTACCTTGGAGGGATGCTAGCCTTTAAATACTCTTCCATCTGACTGACATCTGCAGCAAGGAACATCTTTTTTTCCGTCAACCGGAAAGGAACACTGCAGGCATCCACAACAAGAATGAGAACGCCTGCACTCCGGAAGGTGAAGTCTGTACCATTGACCTGAGAATACAAAAATATCTTATGCTGTCATCTCCATTTCAGAAACATCCCTAGGATACTTGAGCTTTCTCTAGCTCCTTCTAAGCCCAGGATTCAAAATCTATCATGTTTGGTTTATTGTCTGAAATGTCTACAATGGTACCCATACTCCTCCAGATTTCAGTTTCTTCAACTGTAGGTCATGATCCCAATGCAGAGTCCCATGACTGAAAGGTTTCTGGATGCACAAACAAAAATCCATTCAAAAAGAAACACACAATGCACCTGGGGTATTTCTGGCTGTGCTCAGTCATGTTGCATCTTGTGACTTTACTGGAGCCTTGATTCTGAACACACAACATGTGTACTTTATACTGTGTATATTTTCATTCACCCAGTCACAGGAAATGATGCTTCAAACACCTCAGCTGAATCAAGGTCACTGCATACGACCATCGGCAGTATGTCAAATGCACAGTTTTCTGCTCAGGTAGGAAAATAACGGTTGAATAATGGAAAACAAACAACTTTAATATTTTCCTGCCATCATTCCTCTCTGTATAAGCATCAACTTGCTGTGTCTTTGGATTGGATCATGTTTAGAATGCTTAGTTTTAAAACCTTGTTTGAGATGCTGACTTGTGTTTGATTTAATTTTTTTTTAAATCATCAAATAAAATTTGGCCTGGGATTAGGACAGAATTCCCAACAATTTCTAAAATGACCCTAAAGACTCTTTTGCCCATTTTGTACCACGTGCTTACGTGAGGTGGTATTCTCAGCATTGATGACTCTCACATCAAAATATGGATAAAGTCCAAAAAAACACTGAAGATGTTCTATATCTTAAACTATCAGAGATGCAGCCAAAGTTTAATTCTTTTTGTGAAAATGAACAGACCCATCTATCTCACTATTTAATTCACTTTAATCTTTGACAGTACTCAGTAAAATTATGTGCAGACCAAAGAATTGTTTTGAAACATGCTTCTTTTAGGGTCTTTTTTGTATACTGTTTTACATATTTATATGCCCAAGTTTTTACAAAAAATTCTTGGGCAAAAGAAAGCCATGAATGGGAAAACGTCAAGAGGTCCTGCTAGAGTCTGCCCTGGGAAATCACTGCTGTCCACATAACACACTCTAAGCAAGATAAGGCAGCCTCCATTCAGCTGTGATGGTGATTCTGAAGTGTTCAGTCCTTAGCCATGAACACTGTGCCATCACCAAGGCTAGGGCTGGTGCCCATCACCCATAATCCTTTGGCATCTAGGCCCGGAATACCAAAGCCTCCGAATGCCTCCTTTCTCCTTCAAATACAGCTCTTCTCTGACATCAAAATGGCAAAGTGGGACTTTTACTGGCACTTAAGCTATGAAGTATTGAAGCAAAATTGAATGAGGGAACAGAGGAAACATGGGAAGGGAAAAAGACACCTTAATCCTGGAACCTGGCTGAGAGTCAAGACACTGCAAGACAACTGATAAATAAAAATTGCCCACTAAGATAGCACATGTTTTCCTAAAGATGTCTTAAAGTTAGAGAAAACAAGCCACATAGGGTCAGAATATGTGTGACTGTCAGTTTTTTACCATGTTAGCACCCTAGCAACCCTAAACCCCAAAACGCATCTCACAAAACAACCTTACGGGTTCATTTACAAAAAGAATCAGAATGCCAACTTGTATGTTTCCTTCCACGTTTATGTTTAATCTCTGAACACTGCTGCAAATGATGATTTTTGAGCAAGTTGGCAAGCCACAGAACTGAAAAAAATTAAGCCCAGCTCTCTTATGAAGCCTACACTGTCTTAGACTGTGCCCTCTCCTTTTCAGTTTGTTAACCCTGCCCTCCATCACGTGTAGAATTCTTTGGTAAGGATTAGGAGACAGGGTCTTGTTGAAGGAAGTGTGTCACTGGGGGTGGGCTTGAGGTTTTAAAAGCCTATGCCATTAATAGTTAGCTCTCCGTCCCTCCCTCTCTCTCTCCCTCTCTCGTCCTTCCTGAAATATTGTGTCTAACCCATGACTTAGCTCATAAGAACTCAAAATAATTTGTTTAGCTATGTGTAAGTTGCTTGAACTCAGGAAATAGTTCTTCTAATTCCTGATGTAATTTTTTTCTTTTAATTACATTCTATTTGTGTATGTGTGTGTGTGTATGGGGGGGTGTACTATGGGGTGAATATGGAGGTCAAAGAATAATTTACAGGAGTCAGTTTCTTCCTTCTGCTATGTGGGGTCCCAGGGATTGAACTCAGGTATTTAGGATTCTTAGCAATTGCATTTAGCCACTGAGCCATCTTGTCTACCCATTGTGAATCTTATTGAGAAAAAAGAAAATGGACATGATCCACTATTTACTAATATCAGAATATTTAAATTTCATGTAAGACAAGAAATTCCATAATGATTCCCAGAAATGCAAAGTGTGCTTACAAAAAGCACCACCCCTTTGCAAAAACAAACAAACACAAGGAGGGGGAAGAAACTTTCAGAAAGGACTAACATCATGCCAAAGCCTCACAAGTGGATCACGATGTGAAAGTCCTGGACATAAATGTGCCATCAGGAGTTCTGCAGCTTGGTAAGAAACAGTGGAAATCAGCTCAGTGTTGGTGACAGCAGCCCATGAGGATATACACCATACAACTGGGCACAAGGCTAGGTAAGATGGCAAAGTTCATGCCACATGTATCTTTCTTCCTTAAAAAAAAAAAAATGGGGCAGGTGTAAACCTAACTTTGTCCCCACACACTTGGAATTGAAATTATCAAGTCATTGCTTTAACAAAATGAATTCCTGCGGAGACCACAGGAAACTGAGAGGGATGCTGGATACCGGCTAGCAAAGAGCTCCTTACACAGAGACCCCCTGACTTTGGACAAACCACATCTGAGTCCTAGTTCCTAACCGGGCTAGGAGCCCAAATTCTAGTGCTGACCCTGTGACTCCCATCTACTCCACTGATGCTCTCAGGAAAGACAGTAACTCTGTCTTTGCTCTCTTCTCTACCTTTCTTAAAAGAGACAGGTAGCCTTCAAAGAAAAGGCCAAAGGAATTTAGAAGCTATCATTCCCCATATCGTAAAGAACCTGGAAGTTTATTTTAATTCACAAAACAAGGTTAAACATGGTTTTCTCCATATTTAGTGAACATGAGAATTCTTCTCTAACTAAAGGTGCCTTTCCTTTAATGAAAAGTCATCTAAACACATTTTTAACATTAGCCTAAGACTGGTTCTCAACCCTCCTAATGCTGTGCATTTAATACAATTCCTCATGTTGTGGTGACCCCCAATCATAAAATTACTCTGTTGCTTCTTCATAACTCTAATTTTGCTACTGTTATGAATTGTAATGTAAATATCTGATGTGTGACCCCAAAAGGGTCACTACCCACAGGATGAGAACCACTGGCCTAAGAGTAATCAATAAATAATCCACTGGAAAAAAATAACTCTAAACCACAACTGTTTGGGTGGCATTTATACCTCAGCTGCATTCCTGCCACCAGTACATCAAATGGGATGACAAACCCAAGACTGGTCCCAGGATTGAAGATCAAAGCAAGAAGCCACAGCAATTCTGCAGTTGGCTAAAGGAAGTGATGCTGTGGTTGGATATCTGTGCTCCTACAAATTCATAGTTTGAGATTCTAATCCCCAAAGTGATGGTATTAGGAGGTAGAGCCTTTGAGGAATGAGGGAAGCCTTTGTGAATGAGACTTAGAAGCTAAGCCTGAGAGATGACAGGACACACACAGGAAGGAAATGCAAGATGAGCCAGGAAAATGGCCCTCCCCATAGTACTTTACTACAGCCTCCATCCCGGATTTCCCAGCTCTAAAACTGTCAGCAGTAAGCTCTATTGCTTCTAAGCTACTTAGCCTATGGCATTTTATTACAGCAGGCCCACAAGACTGAGGCAATGCCAGGCTGTACTTACAGAAATAACAGATGGATCTCCACGCTGCGTTTCTGCTTTACTGGGTGACTGGAATTGTACAGGGAGGTAGCTCTTGTGGGGGTCACTGCTAAACACCATCTAGACAAGAACACATTGCATCTTTGAAGGCCACTGTATCGAAATCCCACAGGTCCCTCAATTATCCCAAGTGGTTATTTCTTTATCTCAACTTTTTAAGCCGACTTCATGACCTGGAATTCTAGCTCATATATTTCATACAGGCAGTGTATGCTTCTTGGTTCCTGGAACAATCACAGTTTCAAAGAAGTGTAATTTTGTTAATGAAATCAGTAGGGCTGGGGGATCTCGCTCAGTGGCACATCACATGCTCAGCATACACTCCCACACACAATCAAGCCAATAAAATTAACTCAGTAATATGCACTAAATGCAAATATTTATAACATTTCACGGAAAAACAGGCACACATCTTTTAAAAATGTGATTTCTTTTTAATTTTTATGTATTTATGTCAGTGTGTGTGTTTATGTGAGTATATACTTGTATACAGGTGTCCATGGAGGCTGGGAGGGGGCATCAGATCCCCTGGAGCTGGACTAACAGATCGCTGTGAACCGAACTACCCTACATCAGTACTAGGATCCAAACTCCTATATTCTGCAAGAGCAGCAAATGCTATTAACAGTTGAGCCACCTTTTTGGTCTTGGAACACATTTTCTTAAAAGATCATTTTTAGATCAATTATCCTGAACTGGAGTTCATCAATCTAGGACCAAGGAAAGTCTCTAACATAAGGAGGGCTATACTGTTTACCAAATTCTAGTGTGCTGAACAGGGCCAGGCCTCAGCCCCTTTCCAGTGTCTGCAAATTGCTTCATAAACAGAGCCGGTCAATACATAGAGGCCCCCATTTCCCCCAAGAGCCAGGGTGGTCCTCCACTTTCGACAGGTACTTCCCATTCTTTCCCTCCTCTCTGCTGTCTTAGATGCTGTCCATCCCATCTTCTCCAATTTACTCTAATTTCCCTAAAGTCTACCTCCCCTGATCAGTGTGTCTCATTCACCAACTCCCAAGCATACACTCCTTATAAATCATCATCAACAATTTCATTGAAGAATAATCATTATTATACCAAACAACATTTGGAAGTTGAGTATTTTTTTTTTGAGTCTTAGTTTGGGGCAGAGCTGTGGGAATCTTTCTAGTTATTTCTAATACGCATGTGTTTGGCTCTAAGATACAATACAAACACTCTTCTCAAATTTCCAAATAAACATGACGCTCCCAAACACTTCAAATGCTTTGCAGCTGCACCGACAATCACTGCCAATCTTCCTTTTTACTTTGTGAGATGGGTTTTCTCTATTGTAGACCAGGCTGACCTCAAACTTGCAATCCTCTTGCCTCTGCCTCAAGTACTTGAGATTATAGGCATATATCATCACACCTGGCATCAACATTTTTAATGAATTCTTTGAGATGTCTGTGGCATAGCAACTAAGAATGCTAAAGGTAGGAGAGGAAACCCAGGACACCAGTGATAATCAAGTCACTTTGAAAAGCTATCAAGTTTATTTAATAATGAAGGACATTCTGAACTAGAGCATTCAATGTCTACCCCAATATTACCTAAAAGTGAGGCTGGTAGAGTATGTATTTAGAATGTTCGAGGCCCTACATTCTGAGCAAATCATGGAAAAGAAAAAAAAATTTACATGAGCCAGGCAAGTGGGTTTCTGTTTTCCATGAATGGGAGAGCAGAGATCATTAACGAATGTGAGTGAGGTAGTGACAGTGAATTGCCATTAAAAACCTGCAAGCTAGGTGTGGTGACTGAGACAGGAGAACTTAAATTTCAAAGTCAGCTTGGACTCAAAAAAATCAAAACAAATAAAAACAAACAAGGGAAGGGAGTGCATAGTAAATACTGGAGGGGAGAATAAGGCAGAGGGTACAGTGGATGATGGGGAAGGATAAGGGAATGGGATACAGAGTAGATGAGGGGGGAACAAAAGCAAAGGTACAGAGTGGATGATGGGGAGGACAAGGGATGGGGTACAGAGTGGATGATGGGAGAGGCTGATGGATGGGAGATGTCCTTCTGTATGCTGTGAATATATGTTTTACTTATTGGTTGATGAATAATTGACAGGCAGGATTTAGTCAGGCAGGCATCCAAATGGATAGGCAAAGGTAGTAGGTGGAGTTAGGGAGATGCAGAGGAAGAAAGAGGCCCAGGCATCACTGGTAAGCCAAGACCATGTGGAGCTATACAGATTAATAGAAATAGGTTAATAATTAAGAGAGAGCTAGCCAATAAGAAGCCTGAGCCATAGGCCAAACAGTTTGTAATTAATATAAGTCTCTGTGTGTTTATTTGGGACTAAACGGCTGTGGGACCAGGCAGGACACAAACTTCTATCTATAAGAAGAGAACAAAGGAAGGGACATAAGGGAAGGGACATGGAGTGGATGATGGGGAGGATGAGGAAGGGGACAGGGTGGATGATGATGGGGAGGCTGAGGAAGGGGACAGGGGGGATGATGATGGGGGGGGGGGGGGGGGGGAGAGGGGGGGGGAGGGGGGGAGGGGGGGGGGGAAGAGGGGGGGGGGGGGGGGGAGAGGGGGGGGGAGGGGGGGAGGGGGGGGGGGGGGAGGGGGAGGGGGTCAGGGTGGATGATGATGGGGAGGATGAGGAAGGGGACAGAGTGGATGATGGGGAGGATGAGGAAGGGACAGGGTGGATGATGATGGGGAGGATGAGGAAGGGGACAGAGTGGATGATGGGGAGGATGAGGAAGGGACAGGGTGGATGATGATGGGGAGGATGAGGAAGGGGACAGGGTGGATGATGATGGGGAGGATGAGGAAGGGGGTAGAGTGGATGATGATGGGGAGTACAAAGAAGGGAATGTAGAGTGAATGACAGGAGGGAGAGGAAGACAACACTAGTTCCCCCTCATATGTAGAACCTGGATTTAAATATAAATACGTGCATGACAGGAGAGCAAAGGGAACTACAAGAAGAAAGAAAGACCATAAGGAGGGGGAAAGGGAGGTGACAGACATGGGAGTAGATGAGAACAAAGAATAATGATACATAGGATTGAAAATGTCCTATAGAGACCACTGTTTTCATTGCTCAACAAGAATTAATGAAATCATGGACAGGGCAGAGAAAACAAAGTTCATGTTATGAGAAGCATAGAGTTATCATCCTTTCTTTTCCCAGTGTTACTAATGGTGAGAAACAGGGGTGGGATTTATGCTGTGGAAGAAGAAATCTGGTTTTTTCAAATCACCTACAGAAAGACCTAAGCATTTAAGCATTTCCTTCATTTACAGTCAGATGCTTTTTCTTTTCTTTCTTTCTCTTTTTTTTGGTTTGGTTTTGGTTTGTGGCAAATCATGCTCTTTAAGACTGTTGACTTGATGTGGGCAGCATCAGCATCATCTCTGGCCGTGGGAGGCTTCTGGGCTCAGTCTGGAGCACTAACTCAGTAGCACTGCAGTAGAACAGGAATTCCCAGTGACAGACAGGTTCCCAGGAGATGCTGGCCCAGGAACGCACCGTCAGAACCATCTTTTCTTTCATTTATGTGTTTCTTGGAAGATTAAGTATGTCAAGTGGTCATTAGTTCTGTGTTTCTCTTTCACTTGGAACTGCTCTGACTTTCTTGGAACCCCATCTGTGTGCACTTGTAGCCATTTACTTCCACTGCCATGTTTTCTTCAAGATAACTGGGATATATTCTAAGCTAGAGTGTATCAAGAGAAGTATTTTTACTTCTCACCAAAGTCAGTCTGTGTTTACAATTACAAGGAAAATATAATAGCATCTGCTTCAAAAGAGTGACCTTTAAAAAGGGAAACAAGTTTTGACATGAGTCGAAATTTCACACTACTAATATAACAAAAGAATTATGGGGCATGGTGGCATATACCTATAATCCCAGAATTCAAAAGGTAAGTCATGATGATCAGGAGTTCAAGGTCATCCCAAGCTGTTAACAAATTCAAAGCTATCCTTTGATTGATGAGATCATGTCTCAAAAAACATTAAACACATACATACATAAATTAAACAATTTAATAGCACTTTTAGTCAAATAAACCCAATAGTAATATTGGAATAGAATCCTAAACCTAGGAAACAATTTTAACCAACACAATAACCTTTAATTTTAAATATGAAACTCATAATCAAAGTAAATCAACCTATCAAGAAAAAGACACTTTTGCCATAAATGGGGACTGTTTTGCTTCTTAAGAGCAACACATTCTAGACTAAATCAAAATTCAAGAGGTATCAGTATGTATCTATAAAGTTGCACGATATAAACTTCAAAGTCAAGTGCTCCAACTGCCAAGGGAAAAAACTCTGACTTCCCTCCAAAGACTCCCTCCTGTTCCCTGCTTACCTGATGGGTGCCACAGCCTTGACAGAGTCCCGTGAGCATGGCTGGCATGCGCTTGACTGCTGAGGGCTTTTTGTAATACTGTGGGTACGCTTTGGCCATGCAGTTACTGATGTCTTTGGAGTCTGTTGCTGCCTGAATCTTGACTCTTTCACATCCCTGAGATGAACAGTAACTGTGACCATCTCTGTGGCTATGGGCTCTGAGATACAGAAACAATAACCTGTAAAATAAAAACCAAGCCAATTGATGTTAGTTCCTCTCAGAAGCATAAAATTTCTCAACTTGATTCATGGCCAAGGGGATATTTCTCCAATAAAGAAGCTTTTCCTTAAAAGAAAAATAAATTGCAATGCTAATAAAATGTTTCACTTTCCTCCTTATCCCCCTAGTGTCTCAGGTCACTGCCTTAGGGAGCACTGTGATGCTTTGATTCAGTTGTCATGAAAGACATCAAAGTTGATTTCTGGTTTAAATTAGTTCAAGGGGTCATCTGAGAGGAAGGAATTTAGCTTGCCTCAAAACTTGAAAATTATATTTATAGAGTTTAGAAATGGGACATTAAATATCAACTATTCCTTTTGTTGTCACTGCTCATAAATCATTGTGGAAAAAGGGATAATAAAGTAGCAACTGTAACTTGTTTAACTAAGGCCAAGACAATCAAAGGCTTGTGATGCTTCCTAAGAGCACATGGGCCTGGGGTCCATCCTCCTCAACTGAGCCAAAACCAGGCTGGGGGAACAAGTTTCACCAGTTCTAAATTATAGTCTCCCTACCAAGATGAATGGGAAATCCAACTTCTAAGAAATGCTTCATTATATGAAAACCTAGTGTTCCCAAACCAAAGGAGTCAAGATTCAAAGGACTTGATACAAAGTGACTGATTAATGAAGAGTTCACATTTTAAGATGAGCTCAATGGGCAATGCAAAGTTACAACTGAAAGGTAAGCATACAATCAAAATAGACTGTACAAAATCCTCAAAGAATAAATAGAAACAGTATAATAAATTGTTTTTAAAAGGTCAGAGCCAAGCATGGTGGTGCATGCCTTTAACTCCAGCACTCAGAAGGCAGGGCAGGTAGATGGAGCTCTGTGAGTTCAAAGTCAGCCAGGTCTACACAGAGAGTTTCAGGCCAGCCAGAGTTTATAATGAGGCCTTGTCTTTCTCCCCACAAAAGTAAGAAAATTGGTGACTGTCTCAACATCTAGTAATTGTAGCACAAATACTTAAAAAAATAACAGAGGCCTAAATGGGCAAGAGCCTTTTAATATATAATTTAAAATCCAGAAGCTGGATTTTTTTTTTAAGAAACCTAACCAGAAATAATGTCCAATCTTTGTACATGCATAATCACTAAATTGTGGCCACTGGAGTGTCCTTACAAAGTTGGTCATTGCTTTTATTTTTGTGAAAATTCAACTAAGAATGTGGAAATTCTGTCGTCAACAAAATAAAGGTCCAGTTAGACTAGTTATATTAAACTAGAGATTGAAATTTGGAGACTCCAAATCTTACCGCACAGGCTGCTGGGAGTACTAGAGGGCAAATGAGTTGCTTTGTAAACAGAGGTTAACCAGATGATTAACAAATGAGCCCCAACTTTCAGCCCCCAGGCAACTCTGCTCCCATTTCTTCCCACTCTGAACTTTGTGTCTTTCCCAAACATGCCATGCCAATGTTAGTCCATGCCTCCATGCATGTGCGTACCGTTTCCTCTACCTGAGACTTCTCACCCAGCTGTTTGTATCGCCCCCCCAGTTGCTCAAGAATTAGCTAGTGTGGCACCCTTTGCAGGATGTCACGTACCCTCAGCTAACATGTGAGTTACCCATTGAGGCACATTAACTACACTGCTGTTGGACTCCTAGCATTTAAGCTTTTTACTCTCTAATAACTTGCTTCGGTGGCCAAATTCACTGCAGAGATGAATCCTATTTGCATTGGTATCTCTATACCTAGATGGTAGACAGTCAGCTTATGGATGGCATTGGAAGGAGCATGCTACTTGCTGGAGAGAAGAGGAGATCAAGCCTACCATCACCCACAGGCTGAGAGACTGTAACTGGACAAAAGCAGACAAAGCCACCAGGACCCCAGGAGAGCAGGATAAGAATTAAAAAGTGGAAAGACGCAGCCTAGAGAAAGTTGGAAGCAAATATGCCATGGTTACACAGTGATGTTTAAAAACTCGTGGTGAGCTTGAGAACTAACCTTAAGTTAGAAGAGGGAAAAGAGCTTTCAGTGAAATATAAACAACTATTATAAATAACTTTGATAAATAACTATCACAGAGCTATTATGGAAGAACAAATTACCTTAATTTTCAATTGTGTCTACTGATGGCTCTTAACAATGATAATCTCTTTCCCTAAATTGTCTTAATAAGTAAACAGCAAATATCTCTACTTGAGTCCCACTGCCAACTATAATTATGCATCATCTGAGCTGTGCTCCAAGCCCCTAATAGTGACGAGCACAGGTGCCCATGCCAGCTGCTGTGCTAAAGATCCGTCACATCCTGTCCGTTCTTAGCTATGCTAGAGAAGCATCAATTTCATCCTTAAAGAAAAACAACATTAGTTCTCATTCACTGCTCCCATGAATTACCCTGTGCCAGAGTCAAAATAGAATTTTCTCGAAGACGGCTTCTTCTGTAGCTCTTCCATCGATTGTGCGGGCTCATACTCTTCAATTCTGGATAAAGAGCCACTCTGCCGCTGCAGGAAGCCGAAGGTAACCTGAAAGCTTGTGTTGGATGGGTAACAGAGGCCAACTCGGATCCAGTCATCCCTTTGAGGAGAGACAGAAAAAAAAATTCATACTTGAGTTAGTCTCTTTTGAATGCTGCAGCATAAGGAATGAAAAGTGACTTCTCTCTGCCTTTTGAGTCCTGAGCCCCAAATACTGTGTCTGTGTGTGTGTGTGTATGTGTGTACATATACATATATATATATATATTTCATATATATATATATATTTCATATGTATATATGAAATATGATCTACCAAGAAATATAAAAAACAAAACTTGGTTTCAGGAGAAGCCAGAATGTATTTGTGAATTAAAGTTAACATATTCTTCAAGTTCCAGTTGGGTATGGGTCCACTAACATGAAACTACCAACACCCTGACATCCTGGTTTTCTCATGGCATGAGAGAAATGAAGGTGCATGCCATTTATCCCAGCTACCAAACTACTACAATGGTCTTCATGATGATTCTTAAATATAAGATTATTTCTTTAAAAAGAAAAATTAAATATTTTCTCCCTTTTGGCATTTTCTTTTGTGACATTTTTATTGTGGTGAGATAAAATACACTCTAAAAAATTTCCATTTTACACATTTTCAATTGTACGGCTCAGTGCACAAGGTCCACCACCCCTGGCCTTGCCATAACCTTTCTCTATCTAAAGCGCCTTAAGATAGAGCAAGAATTTAACACTGTTCATACATTGTACCAAGTGATCTCATTAAGGAGAAAATACGAATGCAGACCAAAAGCTTTAAAAGCAAGGCTGTCCCATGGGGTGTTATTTCTAACAGCAGAGGTGGGTAGAAACCCTCAATGTTCATGACTATTTAAACAGGCACAGTCCATCCACAACTCAGAAAAACCTGAGGTAATGGGAAAGAGCACCATAATGTTTATCTGCCTCACTGTAGTTAGGATTAAGGATAACCTCAATTTTCTTTTTGGTTTGTCTGTATTTTCCTTATGTTTAATAAGTGCAGTGTTTAAAGTGTTCCTTTCAGAAGTACCTCTCTGTAATTACACTAAATCCAGAAAAATTATTCACTTCTTCCTCTTGCCTCTGCCCACCATGTAATTTTTATGAACTTTTAGCTAATTAGGCAAGGGAAAAATGACTTTATTTCAAGTTCGTGTTGACTTTTGAAACTTCCAGGCTCATTCCTTTTTCCCTTTAAAAGTCTTATTTGTCCAGAATCGGATGAAAAGTTTGAATGTGTACTTTCCAGAGCCTGTCTATCATTTCACTGCAATATCTTACCTCAAACCCATGATCCAACTCAATATAAGTTTCCAGAACACTGATTCCCTTCCCATCCCCCCTACCATTCTTTTCTCATTGGCTTCTTTGCAACTCACTGGCAATAACAGGCTGGGCCTGAAGAAATCTTACCAGGAACACAATATGAACTAGGGACTGAAGGTGGAGAGATGGAGCAACAAGCTGCTGCAAGGATCTGGGCAAAGATGATGGTGGCCTATATTCAGCTGTACACTATGAAGACTGGACTGGAAATATCTGAATGGCATTAAGGAGCCAGAACTAAGAGTTCACTAGCAATGGGATGGAAAGGGAAGGGTCAGCATAGGGAATGAGTTGGGCATTGGGGCTTGGCAGAAGGACACAGGTAAGCAGCAAGGTTAGAGAAGGAAATGATGGTCCATTCGCAGCACCCATCAATCTCACACTAAGGGCATCCACCATCATGAGCACCCAGCCTTGGAAGTGAGCTACTTAGACTCAAACTCCCAATCCTCTGTTTACCTCGACTCTTGTTAAGCAAAGCCAACAACTCCAAGCTTCATGACCAAGCTAATCAATTTTCAGGCATAGATTTGAGTAACTGCATGGAATCCCAAGAGGTTGGCCACAACATAATTCTAGATTATTTTACCCCATGGTTTCCACATAATCAGATTCAACTAACAAAATGAAAATTGAAAATATGCAGAAAAACAAATCAAACCAACATAATTGTTCTGAAAATATAAACTTTTCCCCTGCCATTGTCCTTAAACAATAGTGTAGCAACTGCTTACAGTGCTTTAACACTGAAAGTAATCTACTGATGATCAAAAAACACAGGACAATGTATGCATGTGGATTACATGCAAATATCATGCCATTTCATATAAGGATGTGAACATCTATGAAGTTTAATATTTGCAAGGTTTCCTAAAAACCAGCTCCCCAAAGACTATCACTCTCCCTTCCTTCTAGTTTAAACTTCTATCCTTCCTTTGATATTCCCTATATTCCAAGTCTCCAAAGCTACCATTCTGAGCTGAGCAGGCCCTTTCTCAACACTGGGTTTTTTAAGGAGATTGACAGTTACAGACTATCACTACCTCTCTGTATCCTGGCTCTACTCTCCTGAGCAGAGTGCTGAATTAGTATTCCCATCTATGTCCACTAAAAAAGGCTTGGAAGATGATGATGATGATGAGGAGGAGGAGGAGGAGGAAGAGGAAGAAGAAGAGGAGGAGGAAAAGGGAGAGGAGGAGGAGAAAGAGGAGCAAAGAGAGGAAGAAACAGACATGTATTTACTTGATATTTTCCCCATCTCTCTAATGTGAGCTCATTCATTTTTATATCAACTGACATACAGTAAATGAATAAAGTAGTGAAAATTACAGCCTTGGAATAAATGTGACACTGTGAGAATAGACAACTGGTCAGTTGAGACAGTGTGACGAGACATAGTTATGAAAATCTCTCTTACATTCTACAATTCTAAGAAATTGAGTTTTATTCTATTTATTTATTTATTTGCCACTAAAAGTAACCTTTATTTAAAGAGAGGAAAAATAAAACAAGATGTCCATCCCTTGGTTCCCTTCCCTCCCCATTCCAGCTGTTCTTCAGTCCTCTAGGATTGAACCCTGGCTAGGGCCATGTAGCAGGACAGCCCCTCAAATGAAGTCCACAACACTGGAGTGGGGTGGGGGACATCTTTTCAGTGCAAGAGTTGTAGAAAGTCTCAATATCGTCTTCTGTCACCATGTTAAAAGCCACACCTTTACAGTCAAATACCACCATGACCAATTCTGTGGATATAGTTTGCCCTGTCAGTAGGATTGATAACTTCTGGCAATGGAGACCAGTGGTAATTAATACTTTTCTAGAACCAGACTGGAACTCTCTCATGGTCACGTCTCATTCCTTTTGGTCCGTATCTCTATGCATGGCAAAAACAGTGAAATCCCAGGCATGCATCTTCTTAGTGAGCCAAGCCACACCTTCCTGCTGGTATTGATGAAGATTACTGCCTGGGTGACAGCCAGTGTATCATACAAGACACAGTGTGTCAAGCTTCCACTCCTCTTGTTCCACACTGATGTACATTGGCAGATAACCTCCAGGGTCAATTCTTCTTTCTTGACAAGAATCTGAATGGGCTCTCTCATTGAACTTCTTGGTGACCTCGAGGACATCAGAAGGCAGTGCAGCCAACAACAAAAATACCCGGTACTGTTGAGCTTTTGGAATATATCATAGATAAAGTCCTTGAGCCCATGGCTTAACATTTCATCTGCCTTACACAGTGCAAACCTCTTGATATATTTGGGGGACACGTTATCTCCAGTTAAGTGTATCAAATACCTGGCTAGGGTACTCACAATGATTTTGGGGAACTTCCTTCTACAGCTTCTGTACCTAAGCATGTTCATTAGTGCCCCCCAAACAGGCAACACAAGAGGCATCCACACAGTCTCCTAGTGCCATAACTAAGTTTTGTATCTGCTGAGCCAATTCATGAGTGAATGCCAGGACCAAAAAAAGCAGTGATTGGCCTTTAGAGGTGCTGAAGAATTGATATGGCAAATTCAATTGTTTTCCCAATCCCAGAGTGGGCTTGAGCAATCGCATCATAACCCCCTTGACACAAGGAAGAATGGCTCCCTGCTGGGTGGCAAAGGATGTCTCAAAACCAGAGGCATAAATACCATAGAGAAGGTCTTCTGAGAGATTCATGTCATCAAATCTCATTCCAGTTACTCTCGATGATGTCTTCAGGCTCCATCCTCTCAGGGTTATTGTCTTTGGACCAAGAATCCTGACTCACAGATATGATCCTTAGTAAGACTAGAATTTTGCTGAACCTTACAGCCAAGTTAAGAAGACTCCTTGAGGCCACTTAAGACTGAAGACTGCTACCCCACTGTGTCCTCAGCCTGTCTGATTAACCTGCCTTTACGAAAACACTGTACCAATCAATCGTACTTGACTTGGATTTCCTGTGTAATCAACTTTTACAAACTAAGCTGTAATTTTAAGCTATGTACTCTTCCATGTTCCTGACCCAAAGTATATTATGGTAACAAATGCTGAATATAGCAAATAGGATGAAAGCAACCTTATTAAACAAATATCCACCACAGATGCTGGAAGCCACATGGATACAGGCTGAGAAGATTGTTTGCGGTGATGCTTGCAGTACTAGTTGTTATCTGGGAGAGCTGGGCTCAGCGAGACAATAAAGCTTTATTCCTTGTGAAACTCTGTTTAAGATTTCTCTAAAGTGTCCTCACTCCTTTGCCAGGTGATGCTTTCTATACTGTTCAATAGTGTGAACCCCTTTGTTAAAGACACAAATGCAGACACTCAGGGATAGGGACAGACAAACAGCACTCAGGCAGGAAGATTCGACTCATGCAATGGGCAGACTAGAGAGGAGGAATGAAGAGGAAGAAGTGGAGAATCCAAATCTGGGCTTGGTAAACCTACTGGAAGGAAAGGTGCTTTGATTTCTTTCCCTCAGAGAAACATTAATACATTCTGGGGACTCGGGGTTTATTATTGATGCACTTAATAAACTTAATAATGTTTATTATTGACACAAGACAAAAACAGAAGGACACTTGAAGGTAGGAGTGGGAAAATCCTGGTATTCATGCCCCAACATTCCTTCCTTTTGTCCGAAAAGCCATTACCAAACTAATCATGTCACTATCTTTTGTCCTGTCTATGCTTGGACTCAAAATTCTCTCAATATTGTCAGCTGTTATGATCCATACCATAATCCTAGCACTTGGAAAACCAAGGCAGGAGGATTGTCACAATTTCAAGGCCAGTATGGACTACATAGCAAGGCTGTGTCAGTTCTCTTCCCCACTTGGGGTGGGGTGGAGGGATGAAAGAAGAGAAAAGAAAGCAAGCCAGCCTTTTAGTTTAACTTTCCACATGCTTACTCAGAAAACCACATAAAACTGGGACCAGCTTTGGGAAACTGCAATGCTCAGCAGATGCTATTAAAACCTATCTTTTGAGTAGATGGTATTGCTTTGAGAAGAGTTTTTGCTAACATACTGGAGGTCCTGGATTGAATCCCAACTACCTCAGATAACAACAAAACAAAACAAAGCATAATAACAAAAGCATGCTTATGATGCAGCCTGCTTGAGCTAGACATGGATAAAACCAGACCCTCACTGTGAGCAAGCTTTTCTGTACACAATACCTAACAACAGAGAAAAAGAAATTGTCTTAAAAGCCAAATCGGTCGTATAATACCTTGCACAATCACAATTCCATCCTCACAGCCTACTCCACAAGAGTACAGTGCATGCAACAGCTTCGTGTTATGTCATTCTTTTTTCTGCTGTGACTGCCTGCTCAACTGTTTGCAATGACAGAAATAGAAACATTACTTGTTGAAGTTCACGAGGTACAAGAAAGTGATGCGTGGCGCCGGACCGTTCCAGTGAATGGTGTAGCCCTTCTCCAGCATGACAACGGGCTGGTACTGGGGGGAAATGGCCCTCTGGTTGATACCCCGAAGCACCATTGGGTGGGATGGGTATTCATCTCGTGTGATGATCATGCTAAGATTCGGAGTGTTCCATGTCTGAACATACACCTTTAAGAAAAAGTTAAGAATAGAAAGGAAGTGAATAAAAGATTAAACAGTTCCAAGAACTTATCCAGCACACAGCAAGGGTCTGTACATTGAAAAGAGATTCCATGATAAGTGCCAGCCCAAATACGCAGTGGCCAAGTGGCCTAAGCCATGCTTACGATGCAGACTGCTTAAGCTAGACATGGCTAAAACCAGACTCTCGTTCTGCCAGCCAAGATCATCAATTCCAGCATCACAGGCTAGCTTATTCATCAGGATGGAGAATGTCTGTGGTTTGCACAGCTTGTCACAGAAACCACTCCATCTGAAGAACACAAATCCAACACAAATCAGCAAACACAGGGAAACTGATATGCCTCCAGGCAAATCTAAGACCCCCTTCTGATCCATGCTGTGGTAACTTCATATCTGAGAGCTCTGGCTTTAGTCTTCCATGACCTCCACTTGCCCAAGAAGTCATTTTCCACCCATTCAAAACTAAAAGTTAAAAAGCTCTCTACAGCATCTGGAAAAACATGCTAAGCTCACAGAAATTGGAAAGCCCTGATTTTTTTTTCCAGTAGCATTTGAGCCACGTTCCAGGCCAAACGAAAGCCTTCTGCCAAGGCATCCCCCGCAGGACACGCCTCAGAACAATTTCCTAAAATAAATCAATATCCAGCAACACATTCTTCAGGAGAACAAAATCATATGCAGGATACTGACATTTTACCCACAATTCACTGGACTCTTCTATAACTTGGTTCACACAGGCTCCTCCATTTATGTTCTTGGAGTCAGAATATCTTCTCAACACTCATCCCTTGGGAAAATTTAGCCTTGTACACCACTTACAAATTCAGAATAGAAGCAGGAAACATAAGACTAGCGATTATGTTCCTTTAAATACATCTTTGGGGTGTGTGTGTGTTCATATGCACATGCTTGTGTACTCTTATATGCATGCAAGTGTGTAGGCACATGTGTATGAGATTGTGGAGACTGAAGGATGCCGTCAGGTGTCATTGCTGCTCAGAAACTATCCACCTTGTTCTCTAAGACAGGATCTTATGGGCATGGGCCCCATCGATCAGGGTTAGATGCTGCTGGCCAGCCATCCCCTGAAATCCACCTGTCTCTGTCTTCCCAGCATTGGGATTACAACTGTGTACCACTTTACTGTGTTATCCCAGCCTTTAAATAAACAGTTATTACAGACATATCATACATGATGGATTATCATATGAATATGAATTTGAGAGGGAAACAGACTGACAGATAGACAGACATACCTTCTGCCTTCTACCAAAGGACAACCTGAGGTAGCATGCATAACTGTGGACTCCCAATGCTAACACTGTTCTTCCTGAGTGCCTCATCCTTCAAGCCAGTCTGGAACAGGTGGAAATTCACCTCAAAGGACTTACAAGCAACTAAAGAATAGCAATTCTGAAAAGCCAGGCGTGGGGGCACATGTCTTTAATCCCACCACTTGGGAGGCAGAGGCAGGCAGATCTCTGAGTTTGATGCCAGCCTGGTCTACAGAACAAGTTCCAGGACAGCCAGGACTACCCAGAAAAACCCTGTCTCTAAAAAAACAAAAAGAAAAATAAACAAACAAAAAGAATGACAATTCTGTCTTGACACCTGTGCCAAAAATGCACACTATATTACTTGTAAATGAAAGCAAACAGCTACAGATTTGGGCTTCTGCCCAAATTGCAAATCTCCAGGAAAGAATTTCTGACCTGTGGTTCTCCCATTCTTTGAGTCTCCTGGGAAGCATAAATGACTCAGGCCTTCCTTTAGCTACACAGAAATAAAATGACTACACTGCTTCCTAAGGTGGAATGATTAGGTTCCTATCTGAAACAGCATTACAAATCCAAAGTCGCATGGCTGACTGAGTAAATGAATGAGAATGTATAATATTTAGTTAAAAACTGGAATTTATGAAAAATATACCACATACTTCACAGACATAACATCTTCATTAGTGAGTATTCACTATTTTCAGTCAAACAGTCTGGCATGGACACACACACACACACACACACACACACACACACATACACAAGTACACATGGTTAGCAAAAAAATTAAATAAGAACCACAGCTACAAAAAGGACAAAGGCTCCTTATTTTGGTTTTGGTTTGAATTTTTGAGTATACTTGGAGTCTAAGTATTGATGGGGACATTTAACTGTGGATCTGGGCAAATCTGAATAAGAACAAAATGAAAGATGGGGATCACACTTTAAACCACTTTCTGTTCTTTTTTATTAACTCTCCATCCACTCCTCATCCCCTCTGAAGGACTTGGTGCTCTATTACCTCCTCCCACCCCCATCTGTTCAAAAGAATGAGAAATTCCCACAACAAAAGAACTAAAAAAAAAAAAAATACAGAGGAAATGTTGTCCAGTCTTCATCCCTCTTAAGCCTTTTGCTTGTCTACAGAGAACAATCTAGACTTTTTTTTTTTTTAAGAGTAACATTCTTTTACAGTCATTTCAAAGTAGGAAGAGTAATGAAGAATTCTGCTCTAAGCCAGCTACAGAAGGCCGAGGAGATGAAAACCACATCAAACCTGGGGCACTTGGGGAAGCACCGAGCAGGAGCCCACAAATGTATGCACTTGTGCTTAGTGGGCTGCGAGCCAAGGTCAGTGGCAGGGAAAAACCACATTAACAAAGACAGGCATCTGGTATGGACCTTCACAGTCTAGTGTGACTTACAGCACCCCTTGTCCTTTGTTCTTCCTCCAGTTCCCTTCTTTGTGCTCAAATCGGCTCCTTCTTTTATTCTTTTATCTCCTCTAATTTTTTTTTTTTTGAGACACATAATGTGCTATGTAGCCCAAGCTAACCAAGAAGTAGAGATCTACATTCATTAGCCCCCTGAATACTGGAATCACAGCCATGCATCACCACTCCCAGCCTAGCAATCTATTATTAAATCCCCCACTTTTACCACCCTAAATATGGGGATAAGGATTCAATTCTCTCCCTCCAAGATTCTGGGAAATTGATGCCTCAGCTCTGTAAGATTGTCCATCATTCCAAATCCCACTGTTAAAACCAGCTTTGTGACTTACAACCCTGCTCTTCAAATGGCAGTTGGCATTTCAGCTGAGGCCAGACCACATGCTAAATGTGTTCCATGAAAGCATCCTGTCCTGTCACTCTCCTCATTATGCCTGGCCACAGAATATCCTTTAACGGACCCACCTCTCACTTCAGCAAATAACAAAATCCAGGGTTCGAATCCAGACCGCCTGACTTCAGAGTCTGTGCTCTCTCTTAACTACTCAAACTTTGCAAGTAAGCCTCTCATCTGTTAAAATATAGACTAGCTTAATGGTTTCAAAGAAGTATTCCTCCGTTTCTTTGTGCTATCCCTTTCATGTCTCCATAGACTATCATCATATCATTAGAATTTCCCTGGATTCCTTCTTGTCCATTTATTGCCAAACCTCATTTCTTTCCTTGGAACACTACACTTTCTCGGTGACTCACTGATATTCTTTCTCAAAGTCAGATTTCACAGAGAGAAGGACCCTGAAAGCAAAGGTCATACTTGGAATGTGGCACAAAAAACTGAAGGTCAAGAAACATCAGACCTAACTATCTGGTATAGTACTCGCCTACAGTCTCCGCCCACAGGAAGGGGAGACACAGCCAGGAGGATTGCCACAAATCCAAAGCCAGACATGGGGAGACCTTGCCTCGGTAAAAGAAACATGGCTTCTCATGTCCAAGCTATTGCAACTCTATCTGACTAAGCACATTCTCCTACCGTCCCCTACTGACTCACGTCTCTGATTTAACTGGTTTGAAGGAGCTTTTGGTAAAATGTTCCTCCCTACCCTCCCATTGTCACTTGCTTTCCTCCCCTCTCCTCCTAAAGACTGTGCTTGGGAAACCCCCAGTCACTCTGAGGGAGTTGTCATCCTCCCAGAGGGTAGCACTGCCAGGAGCTGCAGGCCTGGACCACCTGCTGGGCCTACCTGGGCATAGGTCCCACTGCAGACCACTGCATTCCACCTAGTGACGTTGACACAGTTTGGATGGCGGATCAGATAGTTGTCCATCCTTCCCACATAGGCATCCTTGTATCCTGTCACAGAGCCATCAATGTCATGGAAAATGGAATTCTTATCGCCGTCCAGCTCACAATCCTCAAACCACGGGCCAGGTTTTCCAAAGAAGACGTTCAGAGAGACCTGGCAGCAGACAAAACTAAAAGCATCACAAAAGGAGGTTCCTGCCACAGAGTAGCAGGAGTCACAGAGGTCACTGGCATCGTCAACCACGGTAACCAGTTGATCTGAGTTCTACAAAGTGACATGCTTGTGCAAAAACATTTCTAAAGCATCGTGAAGCTTTACTGGGAAGCATTAAACTGCAACTTCATTTTTATTCTCTCCCCCCACCCCCATCCACTTAAATGATAAAGCTGGGGCCAGTTGATCTGAGTTCTACAAAGTGACATGCTTGTGCAAAAATATTTCTAAAGCATCGTGAAGCTCTACTGGGAAGCATTAAACTGCAACTTCATTTTTATTCTCTCCCCCCACCCCCATCCACTTAAATGATAAAGCTGGGAGAAGAGAAAGTAGAACCAGGTATATTTACTTGAAAACTATTATAAACTCCACATGTAGCTGGGCATGGTGGTGCACGCCTTTATCTCAGCACTGGGGAGGCAGAGGCAGGTGAATCTCTGTGAGTTCAAGGCCAGGCTAATCTAAAAAATCGAGTTCCAGGAAGGCCTATTACTCAATGAAATCCTGTCTCAAATAAATAAATAAATAGATAAACAAACAAACTAACTCCACATGTGAGATCTTGTGCATTCCCCTGTAAACAAATTGAACATGATTTAAATAAAAACGTATTCCAAGTATCCCAATAATCATTTTACTTCACTCCAAGTGACTTAGTTACTTATCCAGCAAAAACTCAGTGGAGTCCAAAAAGGACACATGGTGTTGGTGCTGGCTAAAGATGACAAAGTGTTGCTAAGCACACTAGAATCTGCTGGAAAACAGCTGCTGCTGCATCGCCTCTAAGTGCAAAAGATACCTGGCTCAGGGGTTACTTTAAAACCTTCCTAGGAGGCTGCCAATGTAGCTCAGTTGGTGGAACCCTTGCCAGGGTATGCAAGGCCCTGGTTTGAATCCCTAGCACAGCTAATGAAAAGTAAGCTGAAATAATGTCTTTACTAAACACATAGTGTTCTGTTAGAAAGCAGGTTGTGGGTGACATCATTTAGCTAATGCTCATTAGGAGCAAACATTTGTCAGGGCAGACAAAAGCACTTCTAAACACTTCTGTGCACTCCTCAACCAGGCATGCCTGTGTGTCAACAACACATCTAAACGATAAGCTCCTCGATGGAAAACAGCATTGCTTGTAGTCAGCTGGCTCTGGGTTCTTGGCTACTGTCTCCCTTTCTCTTGCATTCACAAATGGTTCCAACAGTATCCCCACCATAGCAAGGATGCAATCACTATGGATTCTCTTATGCTATGGCTTTGAAAAACCTATCTCAAGTAATATTTTAAACCAGGCCACTACACATTTTACGCGGACGTGATGAAAGAATTGTAAGTTATGTTCTAATGTTGGCTGTCTGTGGGTCAGGAAGCTTGAGGCTTAGTCTCTCTCATGCCACTACTATCATAGAATCAGTAAGATGGACCAGGCCTGAGGTTCCAAGGAAAGTGTCCTGTATATTGTAGGTAATAGAAAAACTAAGAAAAATATTCTGGGGGCAACTACAACATAAATACAAAATTTAAGTCTTCTTTATCATCTTCTGTCCAAACCCAATTTCTATCACACTGCCCAATATGCCTCTTTATCCTAACTTTGTATCCCCCAGTTTCCTACAAGCCATAGAAAAGTATCTCACTGCACATAGGTCTATTGTCCAGCTTACTACTCAATGTCCCAAAATCATAGCCATCTTGTTCCTAGGAAACTGGACAATCTCCTCATATCATCATTCTAAGTCATTATTGTGTTGAAGCCATCATCTCCTGTCAAAAACAGCCTAAGTCACATCAGACTTCTGTTCCCACCCTGAACTCAATGGGATGGAGTGTATGGGTTAGGAGTTGCAACTATAAACACATTTCTTCCTGTCATTCAGACTCAGTGCAAGTCCTTCGTTTAGACCTTGTCTTTGGGTATGTGTTCTCCCCCCCCCCCCCCCCCCCCCCCCACTGCTGTACCTGTCTGGAGTTGGCACATACTTTTTGAAAGTGCTCTTTGTGAGATGAATAGGCCCATCATAAATCTGAAAGCCTCGAATTGGGAATGTCCTATTAAAATACAAGATATGTTTAATAAATGTGAGCCAATCCCTTTCACGGCATTTATGTTTTATGAATACTGCTATGTACCCTGTAAGCACCAAATAAAATTCCAAGACACAGTGGTAAGCAAGACACAAGCTGTAATGGAGTGAAAAATACAATATCCTAGAAGAGACTAAAAAAATAAAAATAACTGCAGATAATTGGTGCTACAGAGAAAATTAAGATACTGTAATACAATAGACTGGGTGGAGAGAGACAAGCTGTTTTGGATATAACAGAGATCTCTCTAAAGAACTTCCCTGAACCAACTCACTGTTGATGCTTTGTTTAGGGCTGGGGATGCAGCTTAGAATGATGCAGTTGTAGAGTGATTACCTAACATGGTCCTGGGTACCATACAAAAAATGAGAAGGAAGAAGAGGAGAAGGAGAGAGGCAGAAAAGGGAAGGAGAAGGATGTTACATTTGGTAACTCTGTATTTTTGTTCTAAAAGACAAATCTGTGGGAGCAGAGACAGCCTCCTGTGAAGCCACAGAACAATGATAAAAGGTAAGACATAAAAGCAGGTGAGGATGCGCAATCTAGGTCCTCAGGCCTGGGCTGTCAGAGGGGCTAGAGTAATGTTTTCCATGTATCCTTCTTCCCCTTTTCTTATGCTTGTAATTCCTAACCAGAATTAATGTATAAAGCTAATGCCCTATTTGGTGACTTTATTATATAATAAAGCAATCTTATTTAAAGCATAATATTCTGAATTCTTCGGGTTTCTTCACCTATTAAAGTCATTACTAACAGTATTGCAGAGGATTTCTACAGCGGCTGGCCTATATACCTTGGCAGAGTTTGACAACAACAATGTTTAGACTAGCAATAAAACCCAACTGTCTGATTAAAACTATACTTCATGCATTGACTCTGGGCACATAAATCAACATGACTTAACCCTCACAGACAAGACTATAAACACAGTCAAATAAAACCTGAATTCATTAATCCAGGAGCAAGTTTTTGAGCAAGTTTTTGTTGTTTCTTTACTCTTCCTGAGCAAAGATACAAAAAGCATTTTGAAATGAAACTAGACGTCAGTGTAAAATAAAGACAGAAAAAAGCTGGTTGCCATCACACTACAGACCACGCCGCCAACAACCTGTGCTTCTGTAAAACACATGGTGAGAAGGAGATACAGCATAACCACGAACGAAGCACACAAAGCTGAAGCCAAGCTCAATGGGTTCAAATCCCACCTCCATTACTTAACAAGCTGCCGTTCATAAAGCAGGAAGGTGCAGTGTATACCTGCTTGTGTTTCGTGGGGGTTAAATGAAGGTGAGCGATTTAGAAGAGGCCTTGGCAAGCATTTGATAAATGCTAGCTACTGAACATTCTGGTATGGCTGGGGATACATTTGGGTGTAGACAGCACGTTCCTCAAATATATGAATCCTTGGGGTCAGCCTTCAGCACCACACCATACGAAACAGAAAGTTCTTTTTGCTACTAGTATTCATGAACCAACAGGATTGCTACAGAGTACACGTTCACAAGGATAAGAGCCCAGACAGGATCCAGCACAGGACACCAGGAAAACTGACAGTCTGTCTGCCTCCCCCCACCTCATCCTGAGCCACACCCAGAGAGCATTCCCACATATGGTCTGATTCTCGGTGGACCATGACATCAGCTTGGAAGTGGGGTCTTGAGAAAATCACTAAGACTTTCCTCTACCTGAATTTCCCACATATATATGAAGACCGCTCCAAAGTGAGCCTCAGTCCTGGGTGCTGGGTTAATGAGCTTGGAAGGGTGTTCTAGTGCTACGTGCTGCCTTAAGTACTCTGATTGTCAATATGGTAATTCCTCAGAAAATTGGGACTGGATCTACCTCAAGACCCAGCTATCCCACTTTTGGCCACATACCCAAAGGACACTCCATTCTTTCCACAAGGACACATGCTCAACTATGATCATTTTGGCTTTATTCATAATAGCCAGAAACTGGAAACAACCTAGATGTCTCCCAACCAAAGAATGGATAAAGAAAATGCAGTACATTTACACATTTGAGTAACTCAGAGGATTAAAAAAAATGACTTTATGAAATTTTCAGGCAAATGGATACTACTAGAAAAAAAATCATCCTGAGTGAGGTAACCCTGACCCAGACAGACACACATGATATGTACTCATTTATAAGTGAACAATTGCTGTTAAGTAAATGATAACCAAGCTACAACCCACGGACCCAGAGAAGTTAGGTAGACAGGAGGGCTTTATAGGGGGGCAAGGAAAATAGACTAGATTCTGAGAGTAATTGGGAACAGGTAAGAACCAGATGAAAGGGATGGGGGGGGGTGAGGGAGAGAGTGTGGGAGAGACAGGTGGAATTGGACGCCCTTGGGAGGAAACCTAGTGTGGAAACCTAGTGCAGTGGGAACTTCCTGGAATCTATCAGGGTGACCTCAGTTAGGATTCCTAGTACTGGAGGATAATGGAGTCTGAACTTGTCATCTTTTATAGCTAGGCAAGGCTTCCAGTGGGGGAGTGGATCTGAGGGACACAGGAGGTGTGGGGGAGCTAGGAGGAGTAGAGGGAGGGGAAACTGTGCTTGGGGTGTATTGTATGAGAGAAGAACCTATTTTCAATTTTAAAAAGTTCACCAAAAAAAAAAAAGAAAGAGAGAAAGGACTCTGATTGTGATGATAGAAAACCTGCCCTATTCTGTCCCAACCCCCTCGCCATCTCAAACACACTTAATTACATGGCCTCAGCTGGGTTCTGAGTCGGCTTTGGCATCCACCAACTTTCATTTTCTAGGGCTCTTTTCAGAGGTAATTTCCCTTTTCCAGTAGCTATTTCTGAAAAACCAGCATCATGAATTGCAGGGAAACTGACCTAATGTCATAGTTTATGGTTTGGCAACTTCTATGTCTCAAGAAAGAAAAAAAAATCAAGAGAAAAAAAATCCACTTATATAAGGTCTTATGTAAGGGATAAGAAACAAGAACAGCTCCTTCATAAAACTGATAATAAAACCTATGACATGGATAATTATTAATGCTCTAAAATCTCATGAGGATAACACACAGTAATAATAATGGTAACAGTAAGTACTGTTAATAAGACAGGAAAAGAGCCCAAGTAAGGCAATATATCCAGGCTTATTACAGGAAAAAGCTGTGTCTCCACTGTTTAATTCTCCATTGCCAAAGTCCAACTCACCTGTTCCTGGGTAGCGTCCGAGGCTTCTGGTCTATTCCCCCTATACCCATATACTTGTTCTGTCCACCTTGAAATCCATAATTCTTACTCTCCCCGACAAAGAGGGATTCCGACACTTCCTGGCTCGAACCTTCATCACTTGGGAAGCTCCCATCACTGGAGAAATTAGGACAGTGCTTAGAGACATTCTTGGGGAAGTTTAAGCTGCCCCCCAAAAGAAGTCAAGCTATCATTTAAAAAGCTAAAAAATAAAATCTTAACCTAATACATTTTCTCTGATATACATTATGAAATCCTCTATATACTATACTATCTATAAAAAAAAATCCTTCAATCAATTAGTGAGTTATTTGAAAATTACATATAAACATATGAAGTCTTAGGCTAGAGTTGCAGGGCAGCTGCAGAGTGCATCACCATCATAGAACGATGTGATCCCCAGCACTGCAGAAAACACACAAAAGCCCACACGGGAAACCATGCGCACACACACACAAACAAACACACACACACACACACACACACACACACACACACACACACACACACACACAGAGCACAGTTCTCAAAAGCTTATTTCTAAGTTAAAGCAAGCTCTAAAAGGAAAGTTATAATTTTTAATCTTCACACTGTTTGTCTTCCTCTTTCATCCTCTATTTTTAAGGACTTTTAGCCTAAAGTTCAAGCGTTTTCTTTTAAGTTAACAACTACCATACCCTCCTGTGGAATTTCATCAAAATTAACCTACAACTTTGGCATAAATGCAATTAGTCTACTTAAAAGAAGAAGGAAAAAAAAATGTGGGTTTTTTTGGCCCTCTAGTGGTACCAAGAAGAGAGTGATCATTTTATTTTCTTTTTTATATACTAAGAAATTATAAAACAAACTCCACACCCCCATTCCAAAACATACAAAAAACACTATGGATGATTTTACCTTATAGATTTGAAATAATCAAATGTTTTAAACCATTACAAACCTGGCAAAGGTCAATCCCTTTCCATTGTCTGCAAATCTGTAAGAGGAGAAAGATGACGGTACATCTAAGTTATCAGGAAACACAGAAGTACTAACTCCCTCAGTGGATGACCTGGAAAACCACAGTCCTGATGCCCACTCTCCACCCACATAGAGTTCAACATCCTAGTCACCAGTGTCGATTCCAAGGCAAGGGTGTCAGGTTCAAATCCTGACTCTGCCAACTGTGATCTGTTTCTCAAGCCCTTCCCCCCAGTTTTTTCATCTATAGTTTAAAAATAATAATATGATCTTTCTCATAGGATTCTTGAGAGAATTAAATAAACTAAACATTTCAAGTATTTGAGTAGTGTCTGGAACATAATAAACACCATGTAAAGGTATTAGCTAAACCATCTGTTTTTAATCATTAATTTTTAGAAAGAATTGTATCACGATATTTGCTTTATAATTTTTCAGTCTGAGACCTAAGCCATCCCTACAGGTTTAATACAGTATTAAGTTTAGGAGTGAAAACTGTCAGAGGTGGTGGAGAAAAGCCAAGAAACTAACGGTCAGTGGCAGAAAGGAATCCAAAACTCTTTTTCGACACCAACTTAATTCACTATGCACTAGACCTGTCTTAAAATCATGCAACTGAGCCGGGCATTGGTGGCACACGCCTTTAATCCCAGCACTCGGGAGGCAGGGGCAGGTGGATCTCTGTGAGTTTGAGGCCAGCCTGGTCTCCAGAGCGAGTGTCAGGATATGCTCCAAAGCTACACAGAGAAACCCTGTCTCAAAAAACAAAACAAACAAACAAAAAAAAAACAAGTAAATAAATAAATAAAGTATTGTTTAAAATAAAAATCATGGAAAAAAATCATACAACTGGGAAAAAAACAACAAAACAAACAAACAAAAACCAAGTGAGGCACTTCCTGCTGCCAGTAAGACACAAGTCAACAGGCATATTAAAATGGTCTTAGAAAACTTTCAACAACAAAACAAACAAACAAAAACCAAGTGAGGCACTTCCTGCCACCAGTAAGACACAAGTCAACAGGCATATTAAAATGGTCTTAGAAAACTTTCATTTTGAGAAGCATGGCAAGATCAGACAAACTTTAAAGAGTTTCCAAAAACAACAACAATAAAAATAAAATAAAATAAAAATTAAAAACCTCAGATAGTATCAAAATTTTTATTTAGCTCTTCAACATAAATTGTGTTTGCTACATAAAGCTAAATTCCGGTTTTGAAGCCATTTTATGTCACTAGACAAGAGCAGTTCCTACAAAAGCTCCAGAATGAGAAAATTCAGAACATCTGCAGTCTGTGAACTGTAGTATTCATCCTCAGAGCTCATCCTGTGCATTAATAATATTAATAATTAATTAATAATATAATGATCTCAGAAACTACGGCTGTGCCTTCACTCTGCTCAGTTTAAAAAACAAAAACTAACCGGCTGTGTGGCATTCACTTCTAACAGTACTTGGAAGGAAGGTGGAGACAAAAAGATCAGGACTTCAAGGTCATTGCTTACACAGTGAGTTCAAGGCCAGTCTAGGATACCTGAGGCCCTATCTTCAAAAAATAAAAATTTAAAAAAAAAGGTAACCAGCAGTGTCAGCAGATGTTATCTCTGTAGACAATACTCACGCTGAGTTCTGGACAATAATGTCTCCTCCTCTGACCCAGGCACCGTTATCATTGTTTTTAAAAGCAATTAACCTGTCGATGACAGCAGCAACGCGTGGCTTGTCAGGGTCTGCATCCTGATGAGGCCGGAACCTGCAGGGTGAAAAAGTGAAGTGAGCAAAGGAAATAGAAACTGTCTATATACACACTATGGGATCAAGAGGCGGGGATTTAAATTAGGCCAAAATAAACAAATGTTTAAAAAAAAGTTAAAATACAACTTAATTCTTTATAGTTCAAATACTCAAAACAATTACATTTATTTACATGTAAGTTTCCAGGAAAAAAAAAAAATGCTGTCATTTGTTCTTTGGTTTGTTTTTCGAGACAGGGTTTCTCTGTGTAACTGCTCTGGCTTTCTTTCCTAGAACTCATTTCGTAGACCAGGCTGGCCTCGAACTCACTGAGATCTTCGTGCCTCTGCCTTCCAGTTGCTGGGATGAAAGGTGTGTGCCACCACTGCCTGGGGCTTTCAAGTATTCTTAAAAGATTAATGTATAGAAGGCTTCTGAAAACACATGCCCACAAAAAGACAGCCATATGCAGACCAGACACTCCAGTGTATCGCCACAAAATTTTACATGTTACAACAGGTGCTCACAGAGAAAAATAACCATATATTTCAACATAAATCTATATGAATTATGTTATTAAATTGTATGCTATTTAGATGTTTTTTAGCTAGAGAGACAAATGTAAATTCAGTAGACAGCTTGGAAATGCCTAAACCTAAAAGACAAACTGAATTTTTTATCACAAAGACTGCACTTACTTCCTTCACTCAATAACATTTACAAGGACTTTAATGAAAAAGTCAAAAACTGGTCATATAATAACTCAATTCCATATGCCTACCACTTTACAAAGACAGGAGAAGGAATTTAAAAAAAAAAAACTGTTTAATTCTGTTTCAAAAAATCAATTCACTGCACTGAGTTTTCAATCACATAGGAAGGAAGGAGCCTTTGCACGATGCTGCTATTGTATCTGTGGACCCAGGGTAGCACAGGTCTCAGGCACGTGAGCTCCACATACTATACAACCACTGTACTCTATGCCAGGCAAGTCACTGGGGAAGAAGCAATGAGGTGGGAAAGAGGGAAGTAGAAAGTCAGATCCCCTGGAGCTGGAGTAAAGAGTCCTCTGCAAGAGCAGCACACACTCTGAACTGCTAAGCATCTCTCCAGTCCCTTGATTGTTAATACTGATGACAACTTGGTGAAATGTACAATCATTATGGAAATACATCTCTAGCCATGTCTGTGATGAATTATCTAGACTGGGCAAACTGAAGTAGGCTGACCCACCCTAAATGCCAGTGGTACCATTCCATGGGCTAGGAGTCCTGGATGGAATGAAAAAGAAACAGCAAGCTGACACCAGCATTCCTCTCTGCTCAATGACTGTGGAGGCGGAGTGACCAGCTGCCTCACACTCCTGCCACTATGCCCTTCTTCCCTGCCATGATGTCCCTTCTTTAAACTGTGGACAAACATAAACCTTTCCCTGCTTAAGTTGCTTCTTGTAAAATATTTGGTCACAGCAATAACAAAAGTAACACAATCGCCTCCCCTGATTTAAATGTATTAATTAGTTCTAATGCACTAATTGTTTATAATGCCTCACCCCACCCCTTTGGAAAAGTTCTTTATGAAATTCCCCAATTTCAAACAAAGTGTTCTTAAGAGTCCCCATCTCTGAATTCCCACCATTTCACATTTTGAAGACAAGAAGGGAGACTCAGCTGATAAGTAATGAGTCAGTTTCCTCTCTAAGGAACAGACTGAATGTATCTGCTGGATCCTGCAATCGTGGTGTTTAATTCACAGCCTGACTTATTACTAATATGTGTTGTCATTTTTACTCATGTCTGGGTTGCATGAACACATGAGGGCACAGTCTACACATCAGTTTACACAAAACTAAACGTGTACCAGCTGCCAAGAATCTTGTCGTTGTTCTTCCAAATTAGTTCTTTCCAGTTACAACTTCTTAATGGAGTCAGTCTAATTCCATACCAATATGGACACACTTGAGAACTGGTAAGAAAACTCGGAGTCCAGAGGAACCATTACCATTTTCCTAGTCTGCACATGTCCACCTATCTAGCAAAGCCCTTCTGAAGCCATAATGGGTAGTCTAGCTGCAATGTCAACAGCTTCTTAAAAATATTCACTTCTCCATTCATGCACATACATAGAAACAAACACACACAAAGTATAGTGTGTGCCTCTGCACACATGCACACAAGAGTGAGGGAACAAATACATGTGGAGGCCATATGTTCGTCTGCTGGCTTCCTCATTCACTCTTCACATTATTTTTTGAGACAGGGTCTCTCAGTGGGCCTGGTTCTTGATGACTCAGCTACACTGTTCAAAAGTTTTCCAGGGTTTCTCTTATCTCTCTCTGCCTGGGAATCAGGAAAACACCTAACAGACAGCCCAACAGGCCAGACTGATCCAGGAAATTCCTCAGTTGAGGAAACTTCTTCCCAGGTAACTATTTTATATCATGCCTGGCTTTTATGTGGGTGCCAGAGATTGAACTAGCATCTCATACTTGGGAAACAAGCACTGAGCCAGCCCAGCCTTTTCCCTGCAGCCAAGTATAAATTCTTTCAAGGCAGGAAAAGGAGCCAATTGTTTAACCATTTTTCTGGCAGCACCAACTTGACAAAGCACACCTCACTAAAACTACCAATTCTAAAAGACTTAAAAAGCAGGTGTGGCCAGATTTGGTGGCTCTTGCCTATAATGCTAACACTTGGGATGCAGAGGCAGGCAGGTCCCTGGGAGTTCTAGATGAGACAGAACTCTACAATGAAACTGTCTCATACACACACAGGAAAAAAGGAAAAAAAAATAGGCAATTTTCCATAACAACTGTGTTATTCTTTTGGCTTTGCTGATTAGTTTTTAATTGTCAACTTGATATAAAATAGTTACCTAGGAAGAAATCTCCTCAACTGAGGAATTTCCTAGATCAGACTAGCCTGTTGGGCTCTCTGTGGGTCATTTTCCTGATTGCTAAATGATGCGGGAGGGCCCAGCCCACTCTGGGTGGCACTATCCCTAGCCAATAGGTCTGGGCCTGTAAGAGGCTGTATAAAAAAGCAAACTGAGAGAGCCAGTAAGCAACAGTATTCCTCCAGGGTCTCTGCTTCAAGCTCCTGCCTTGAGTTCCTGCCACTGCTTCCTTCAATGTGGACTGTAACCTGTAAGTGGAAATAAACCCTCTCCTCCCCAAGTTGCTTTTGGTCATGGTGGGGTTTTGTTGTTGGTTTTGGCTGTTGGTTTTTTGTTTTGATTTTTTCAAAACAGGGTTTTTCCATGTTACCTTGGCCATCCTGGAACTCACTCTGTAGACCAGGCTGGCCTCCAACTCACAGAGATCCACCTGCCTCTACCTCCCGAGTGCTGGGGTTAAAGGCATGGGCTACCATCGCACAGCTTGGTCATGGTGTCTTTATTACAGCAACAGAAAGCAAAGTAGGCCAGCCAATATTTTTTAGTTCATAATTTTATTCTCATCTGTTTGCTCCTTTTTCTTTAGCTCTTCTCCTTTCTTCCTATTTCAGGTTGATCATCTAGCAAGGTGCATCGTACCTTGTGTTTTGTTTACTTAGTGCTTGCTTGGGGCCTTTGGAAGTGTTCCCTGGTCACCGCTCCCAAAGGTTTCCTGCTTAACTTGACCTTGAAGAATCCTGATAGGTGATTCACCTACTGCACTTTCCCTGGTTTTCTCCTGACCTCACATCTTAGCAATGTACAGCAAGACCCTGCCTTGCACATTAAGTCACATTCATCAACCCCCAGTGTGGTTCCTGCTTTATTCTCTTAACAACTGAGCCAGTCATTATTCTCTCCAATGACTCCAATGACTAGTAAAAGCCTTTGCAATCTATCACCCATTCAACCTCATAATCTGCTCAATAAACTTCAGGTATTGAAAAAAAAAAAAAAAGCATGTTCATGGTTTCTACTGAATATGACTTCAGGTTGCCACATTATCCAGAACACTTTATTTCCACCCAAGACGTTCTGTTTACTTTGGCTGGCATGCAGCACACGAGAGAGCCTGCTTCAACACTGACCCACATCCCAAACACATTATGTGGTTACACGGGAGACTAACACAGCCTGCCAGGAGGTGAACCTGAGGCTACCAGCAAAAACCAGAGCCAGCTCGGTCATCACATCTGGGATCACTCCCTTGAAATAAATCCAATGCAATGTTCCATTTGACCACTAACCATGAATTCTAGATGCTGGGGTTTGGGGGGACTGACTTGTTTTTCAGTGACTCAGACTTGTTCCCAATGGGAAACCTTTGTTAACCTCTCTTCTGTTCCTATTTCTTCCTGTAACTCCCTCTAACATCAGTTTCCACCATGACAAAGGAAAAAAGCATCAACTTCCTTGGCATTTTGTTAAGATAAATAAATCCCTGCGCTCAGGACCGAGACAACAAAGCAACTTCCCAAAACTCTTACATGAGCTTTCAAAACTTCATCTCCGCATGCTGCCATCAGAAAGAACACCTTGTATTTGAATTGGAACATTCTGCCCTGAGAGGATAAGTCTGGATGTAAATTGAAAAGCTTGCCCTACCTTGCACTGTTATCCAAGCAGAGGTATTCCCTTGGGTCGGCAGCACTGGAGTTGGTTGTTTTGACACCTTTGTCTACAAATAAGCCAGCCTGAAATACACAACAATGCTCGAAAATGAACATAGATCCTAAGGTACATCCACATGCATGAGGTGTGAAAATACTTTGAGCTTATCATTTCACCTGAAACTGGGAGTGGGGGCCGGGACCCACAAAGCAAAGGTGCTGTGAAAAGCAACCGTTTTCCTGTACAGTGTTAGCTTGTTTATTTGGTCATTCAACAGACACTTACCTATTGTACACTTAATGGTTTATATGTTAATTAGCAAGTAAAATATATTCCCTGCTGTGTACTGATATAAAAACTGTCAAGGGGGCATGCAATTAAACAAACAGCTGTGGCCAAATACTAAAAGCATAGGGACAAAGAAACAGGAGAGCCTGGTGGCAAAAAGGCATGGAGATGAATCTTCCTAGGGGAAGGGAGAGGACTCCAGACATGTCTCCTATGTGATGCTGAAATCCTCAAGATGAGGAGGAACTGACTGAGCAGAAGAATGGGCTGGGGGTGAGCACGAAGCAGCTGGAGGTCCCAGAGAGAACCACTCACATGAGGAGTCTGTACGAAAGTGTCTAGAAAGAAGAGATGGCGTGGAGTATTAGAGAACAAGTCCTAGATAGGACAGACAAACAGGAACAAGGGAGGGAGAGAAGAGATGAGCGCACATCTAGCCATGCACACACACACTTACACCTGCAGATTTAATTCTCTTACAGCTAATGAAATAAGTATGCGCTGTCATGGCATATGACACCAAGAAGTAATTAGAGATAGTTTTCGTATCATAAATACAATTTTTAAAGATGGTCTACTAAAGATGTAGGACAATGGGGATCTATTGAAAGCAATACTACAAACAAGAAAAATATATTGCAACTAAAGATTGGTTAAAGGGGCCAGCAGGGAGGAGATCAGACATGAACTAGGAGACGCTGTCAGTCATTCAGGAGGAAAATGAAATGACCTGTACTTGTGGCAAGGTGAGTGTGAGGCACGGTATAATTGATGAAATATCTGGGGCCAAGAAGGAAAGCTTGGGGTTTTGTTTTGTTTTGTTGTTTTTGATTATATCAAACATGGAATTAACTAGTTGTTTAATTCACTGAAATAGAAATAGAGAGATAGGGCAAGCATGAAAATGAAGTATTCCATATTGAATGTGTTTCTAATATGCCTATAAAACACTGAAGTATAACCCAGTAAGCAGCCATATAAACATAGATGACCTGGCTCTAGGGAAAGCCTCAGGAAGCCTCAACAAGCAAAGCCACAGGGGCTGGTCAAAGTGTGTACATTCGTCACGAGTGATCCCAACATGGCAGGAGAGAAGCAGGGAAGCAAAGCCAGGGTCTCAAGCCCCAGACATGTACCCCCTAATGTGTATGATCCCAGAAACCTGACACTGAAGACAGGAAGGTGAGAAAGAGTGAACTGGGCAGACAGACAGGCAGAAACCAAGGACAAGAGAGAAAAGGACTGATGAGCCAGTCTGTTAGATTCACACAGATCACATATTCAGGACTCAAGATTCAATTTCCTTCAGTTATAAAATATTCTGCATAATCATTCCCAAGTTTAACAAATTAAAACCTAATTATACACTCAGGTTTAATACTCATAATTAACAAGTGCATATTGTCATGTCATATGACACTAAGACTTTATGAGACTTAGTTTTCATATCACAAATGTAATTTTTTTACAAATTAACGATTTGTCCCTATGAGACGCTATTTTCCAAATATTAGCCTTAGTCAGTTACCCATCTCACAGAAAACACAGAAGTTTTTTCTTCTCTCAGTTCTTCAAGTAAGCCAAAGTTTTTCCTAATACTTAGATTTGGGTGACTGGGTGTTATATGTGCACATCTGGGGGGGGGGGGGCGTGGCAGGTGACCCTGTGTGCACATGTATGGAGGTCAGAGAAGAGTATCAAGTCTATCACTCCTCACTTTATTCTTTTGAGACAGGATCTCTTGTTGAACCTGGAACTGGGCTGGTAGCCAGCAAGCCCCAGCCACGCTTTTATCTCTGCTTACAACAGCTCTGGGCTTAGAGGTGCACACAGCCACATCCAGCTTTTTGACAGGTGCTCGGATCCCAACTCAGGTCCGTATGCTTGCACAATAAGCACCTTCCCTACTAAACCATCTCTCTAACCCCAACACTGAGATGTGTTTTAAAGGATCCTCTGATAGTCATGCATGGAAATGTTCACTGAACTGTGATATGAGTCATATCACAGCCAAAGACCTAAGGATTACATATACAATAAAAAAGATTAAAGTGACTTGTGAGCAGGAAATGAGCCAACAAAATATTCATCATGATGGAAGGGAGGGGTGAATGACAATTACCACACAAACGGGAGTTTCTTTAGGTGACTTAAATTAAGTGCAATGTTCTTAAATGGTATTTCGCCATTTAAATACTTGGTAGTAGTAAGTGGCCAAAAGGCACTCAAGGAGCACTGTGGAGAGAAGCAGAGAGAAGCAAAGCCAGGGTCTCAAGCCCCAGACATGTACCCCCTAATGTGTATGATCCCAGAAACCTGACACTGAAGACAGGAAGGTGAGAAAGAGTGAAGGGGGCAGGCAGACAGGCAGAAACCAAGGACAAGAGAGAAAAGGACTGATGAGCCAGTCTGTTAGATTCACACAGATCACATATGCAAGTGTAGGCTGTGTCTTGGGATTTTGTGACTAGAGACCAGCCCTTAACAGATGCTGGCCCTAGATTAGGAGTTCCAGCCAACAGAACCCTGAGCCAAGTGAACATCTGCTCATCATAAATTACCCTGCCTGTGCCACACGGTCACAGCAGCAAGAGGAGGAAGGCGCCGTCACTGCAGTGAATATACCCTGTGCGCATAATCCGTACTTCAAAAGTTAGACGCCTACCTTAAAATTTGAATGAACCCTGTTGTTATAAAATATTCCCAGTGGAGTGAGTTCTGGTTTCTCCAGGAGCTGCATGCCACTGGATTCCCCAGTGGGTTCCTTGTGGAATAAATACCATATTCCAGCATCCTACAAATGAAAGGGCAAGGTCATTAAAAACACTATTTTTACATTTTTTAAAATGTATAAAATAACGGGTTTCATTATGACATTTTCATATGCATGGATCTCTACACCTTGCTCATATTCATCCCATCCACCCCTGGCCCTCCTCCAAACTCCCCTGTTTTCCCCCACAAACAGTTCCCTCTACTTGGATACTATATACACAGACATCACTTATATATGTACAATCCACATGCTTTCTATGAAGAAAATGTGTGGCACTTATCTTTCCTCCTTGCTTCTCTTCCTTGTCCTGCCTCCCCTCGTCCCATAATAGACTCCTTTTTCCTGACCCCTTGCAGTCCCCTCCTTTAATGTCACATATACACATATTTGTATTATATCTAGATTCTGAATATGAGAGAAAATAAACAAATTGTCCTTTCATGTATATAAAGCCTCAGTTTTTACAAAGCTACCATGTGAAACACCCTCAGCCGGGTGGTGGTGGCACACACCTTTAATCCCAGCACTCAGGAGGCAGAGGCAGGCGGATCTCTGTGAGTTCAAGACCAGCCTGGTCTACAAGAGCTAGTTCCAGGACAGTCTCCAAAGCCACAGAGAATCCCTGTCTCGAAAAACCAATAAATAAATAAATAAATAAATAATAAACACTCTGTAACAAATGTTTTCCATTGTTTTAAGTTCCGAATTGTGTGCAAAAAGTTGCTCACATTATACAGCACCCCCCACCCCACCCGAAGCAGTTATATCTGGTTGTTTTTCAAAGCAAATACAAGTTTGCTTGCAGGATTGGACAAAAGACATAGTTGACAAATACCCAAATCCAGCTTTCCCATTATTATATGTCTAAAATGCTATGCAGATGGAGAGCCCTGCTTGCCTTCTGTATGACCGGGACAACACAGCCTTTAAGCAATGTGGTTTCTTGTGTTTACCTCCAAACCTGATCAATAGATGAGTCATGCCTATTAAACAACTGTCTGCTGGCAGACAGAGCTCACTGGCTTCTTTCAAACAACTCCAATGCCCTTCCTGTTCTCAGGCAAGTTAGTGCCAACGTGGGGGAGAAAACACCACATGTATGAATCAGGGTGCTGTCTCTCAGTGTGGACCCTGTCTGTTTTACTGGAGGACTACTGGCCCTAACTGCAGAACAGTTTAAAAGTTTCTGACATAAGTGAAACATGAAAACAGAAATAAAAATTCTTATTAACCCTATTCCCATTTTTTTTTATTTTAGGACTGAATTAATAATTAATCCAAACTGAAGGATAAATTCACACTATGGAATGTTGATAAAGCAGCTTTTCAAAACTTAAACATATAGATATTGGTTCAAATTCAACATGTGTTTATTTAGTGCCCCCTACATGCTGATGTGTAGTAAGACTATTGTCAAGTAATTCACAATCTAATGGAGGAAAAAAGATAATTAAAATATGACATATGTAGTATCCTGTTAGTTGTTACTAAAATCCTTTAGGGACACAGAGGAAACATGAAGTGTAGAAAGTATACACACCTACATACCCAAATGACTGTAATGTCAACATTTTTCCATGATCAAAGTTTACAAATGGGTCTTAAGAAACCAACCATTCTGTAAAAACCGTTGGCCACCTCAACATATTGGAAGCAATTCAGACAGGAGAAGAAAACATAACGGGGCTGGAGAAAAGGCTTGAGACGACACCCTTGCAAGCAGAGGGCAAAGCCAGCCCTCCCAAGATGCCATGGGTTTGGGGAATGAGGAATGTACAGGCATACGGCAGCTGTTTGATGCTAGCACTGTCATGTCTAAACAGGCAATAGCAGCTCTGTAAAAGGCAATGGGACGGTGCAATGAAATAGTTTTGCCTACTCCAGGAGAAGAAAGCCCTGACAAATCCTATCTTCACAGAAGCAGTTTTTTCCAGAGAGAAAAGAAAAACTTCAGGAATGACCGGAAGAACATGCCTGAGACACGGCCCAAGATCAGGAGGCATTTCACTGTCTGGCTCCAGGCTTTTCTGAGCTATTTGCAACTGCTCTCCTCTGCGGTCCTAGCCTCTAGCAGAGCTAAGAGAAAACAGAGCTCTGACTGCTGACTTAAAGCAGGCAAGGGTGCAGGCTTGCCTCTCTATCCTAACTCTCCAGTAAGAAATGCTGAGTACAAGCTCACACAAGTGCCTCAGATACTGGATGGAGAATGGATGAATGGAAAAATGACATCATCGAATGCCCAGTGTCTGTCTAGTCAAAAGACAGTCTTCAAATATCAGAGTGCTTCAAGTTACATTTCATGTTTTAAGAGCAATCACAGGCGTAGGTTCAGTGGTTACACCATGATGCCTCCATCCGGGTTTGTTCAAGAAGACACTCTCTTCAGCTTCGCTCTTACACACAACTCAGAAATGATGGCCCATACTCTGTCCTTTTTAACAGGCTGAACAACTGTGATGTATACATATGGATATTTACATAAAACTGGATGTTCACACACCTACACTGTAAATTTCAGCCCAGTTACAGTCTTGAAAGTTTTGTTAAAAGTTCATTTATATTAATCAGTAATTTTGAACTACACTCAACTATAAGGATAAATTACCCATGTTTATCTGTGGGACAATTTCTACCATTTAAAACTAATTTTGTTTTTGTTTTTGTTTTTTTTTCTCTTAGAAATTATTCTCTTCCTGTGACTGGGTTACCTCAGTCAGGATGGATTCTTCCAGTTCCATCCATTTGCCTATAAATTTCAAGATTTTGTTGTTTTTTTCCACTGAGTAATACACCATTGTGTAAATGTACCACATTTTCTCCATCCATTCTTCAGTTAAGGGGGCATCTAGGTTGCTTCCAGGTTCTGGCTATTACAAACAACACTGCTATGAACATAGATGAACATATGTCCTTGTTGTATGAATGAACATCCTTTGGGTATGCCCAAGAGTGGAATTGCTGGATTTTGAGGTAGACTGATTCCCATTTTCCCAAGAAATACTGATTTCCAAAGTGGCTGTACTAGTTGCCACTCTCACCAGCAGTGGAGAAGTGTTCCCCTTTCTCCACATCCTCTCCAGCGTAGATTGTCATTGGTGTTTTTGATTTTAGCCATTCTGGCCAGTGTAAGACAGTATCTGAGAGCTGTTTTGATTTGTATTTCCCTGATGGTTAAGGATGTTGGGCACTTTCTTAAGTGTCTTTCAGCCATTTTAGATTCCTCTATTAAAAATTCTCTATTTAGTTCTGTACCCCACTTTTTAATTGGATTGTTTGGTGTTTTGGTGACTAGCTTCTTGTGTTCTTTGTATATTTTAGAAATCAGGCCTCTATTAGATGTGGGGTTGGTGAAGATCTTTTCCCATTCTATGGGCAGTCGTTTTGTCTTACTGACTGTGTCCTTTGCCTTACAGAAGCTTCTCACTTTCAGGAGGTCCCATTTATTAATTGTCGATCTCAGTGTCTGTGCTACTGGTACAGTGTCTCCTGTACCAATTCATTCAAAGGTACCTCCCACTTTCTCTTCTAAGAGGTTTGGTGTGGCTGGATTTATGTTGAGGTCTTTGATCCATTTGGATTTAAGTTTTGTGCATGGCGATAGATATGGATCTATGTTCAGTCTTCTACATGTCCGCTTCCAGTTATGCCAGCACCATTTGTTGAAGATGCTTTCTTTTTTCCATTGTGTAATTTAATTTTAGCTGCTTTGTCAAAAATCAGGTGTTCATAGGTGTGTGGGTTAATTTCTCAATCTTCAATTCCATTCCATTGGTATACCTGTCTATTTTTGTGCCAACACCAAGCATGGTATGTACTCACTCATATATGGATATTAGACATAGAGCAAAGGACTACCAGCCTACAATCCACACCACCAGAGAAACTAGGAAACAAGGAAGACCCTAAGAGAGAAATACATGGTCCCCCAAAGAAGGGGAAAGGAACAAGAACTCCTGAGTAAATTGGGAGCACATGGGGGGGGATGATAGGAAAGGGGGGTAGGAAAAAGAGAAAAGGAGAAGAGGAGAGGGGAGGAGGACATGAGGGATCAGGAAGACTGAGTCAGGGGAGAAATAGAGGAGAGCAAGAAAAGAGATACCTTAATAGAGGGAACCAGTATAGGTCTAAAGAGAAATCTGGCACTAGGGAAATATTTGGACATCCACAAAGATGACCCCAACTAAGATATAGGCAGTAGTGGAAAGGATGCCTTTGATGTCCTTCCCCTATAATGAGACTGATGACTACCTTGGTTACCATTCCTAGAGCCTTCATCCAATAGCTGTTCGAAGAAGAAACAGGCACCCACAGCTAAGCACTGAACCATACTCCTGGAATCCAGTTGTAGAGCAGGAGGAGGGATGAGCAAAGGAGTCAAGACCGTGTTGGAGAAACCTACACAAACAGCTGACCTGACCAAGTGAGAGCCCAGGGACCCTAGTCGCAAAGCTGGGGAACCAGCATTGGACCGAACCAAGCCCTCTGAATATGGGTGCCAGTTAGGAGGCCTCTAACAGTGGAACCAGTATTTATCCCTAGCACACAAATGGACTTTGGGAGCCCATTCCCTATGGAGGGATAGTATTTCAGCACAGATACAGGGAGGAGGGCCTAGGTCCTCCCCCAAATGATGTGACAGACTTTGATCTCCCATGGAAGGCCTCACTATCATTGGGGCGTGGGTGGGGAGGTGGGTTGGGGGGTCCATGGGGGGCATGGGAGGATGGAAGGAAGAGGGAACAGGGGATTGATATGTAAAATAAGATTGGAAAGAAAGAAAGAAAGAAAGAAAGAAAGAAAGAAAGAAAGAAAAATTGTTCTCTTGTGTGTATATGTGCCTATTTGTCTATCTTAAACAAATTGTAGCTGAGGTTTTAGCTGCCTTATCAAGATGTAACTAACTCCTACACTTACCAAAAAGAAGTGTTCCTTGGCCAGAATGGCACAGTGTTATTCTACACACTGACTCATTCCCATAAAGACATGGAACATGGCAAGGCTTTCTTTTTTCGTAAGCACTAGAGATGAAGTGATGTGGTGCTTGTCCACCAAAGATATAAACACGAGAAACCAGAAAGATCACATATAACACACTACCAATCCATCCTGGAGAGGCTCCACTCCTGAAGAACAGCTCACCTCTGTTCTTTCATTTGTCGTCCTCTCTAGACAGAAGCTCCTAACTGGCAAGGATTTAGAGGAATGGAAGAACCACCTCAGTAGCTCACTCTCAATTAGACAAGCAGAACCAGAAAACAGTAACATGCTTTCATTACAAAGGCCCCACCCATACAAGCCAGAGCAGTCACTCACATGAAGACACCCAAAAAAGTATCATTTACCTGGGAGCCTGCAGCTGCATTATTGATCAGATGATTGTTGGGGTGGGCAATCCAGAAAGTTGAAACAGCCCTGCAAGGCATTGTTGAAGATAACTGAAACATTCTTCACAAAAACTCTGTCCACTAAAGTCTCCCCAGAAACAGCTTCCCCAAAATTCAAAGGCCTTGACCACCACACAACTCCCTGTCCAGTAATTACTCACATACAGTCTGTGGTAGGCACAGGAACGTAGTTTCCAAACACCCCATCACGCATAATGGTGCACATGGAACTGTTCCTGTCCGTGGGGAGGAGAGTTCCTGGCTTGGTAAGAAGCCCCAGGTTGTGGAACAAAATATTCCTCTGTTCAACACCATCTTCCAAAAAGAAGCAATGGCCTAGTGCATCAAATCCAATGGTGTCTTTGATCTGCAGAAATGTAGGTGCAGAATGTCATTGGACACAAGACTTTAGGGGCTTCCATGAAAAGTGATTGTATTAGACAATGTAAGTGATTTTAAAAAAGACTAGGCTTCTACAGCTGAAAACCCAGAATCTTCGGTAAGAGCAGGTTAAAGCATGGCATGTGGTCAGACAGTTTACTTGTGTAAGATGGAGGAGTCACGAGAATCAAGGAGAGCTAACATTTCAATAACAGCTGTTGCACGTCAGGGCAAGGTGAGACTACTTACTAGCAAGCCATTGGTCCCATGCACAGTGATGCACCTTGAAAAGCTATGATGAATAGACAGGCCAGCCACGGACGTTGGCGGGCTGTACCCTCCTTTAGAATCCACATCTCCGCACAGATGAAAATGCACAGGATAGCGTCCCAGGTGCTGCTGGCCCATGTGTTTCAATTCCACATAAGAAAGATGGACTGAAGTGAAATTCTTCTCTATCTACAAGGCAAAGTATTCCAAATCAAGTGGAAACCTTTTCAAGACGAGAAAGAAGCAGCAAGTATGCATCTATATTGTTTAAACGAAAGATGTCTATGGAGGAAACATCTTACAACATTTTGGGGTAGAATGCTTGCTATGCAAGTGTAAGAGCTTGAGTACAGTCTCCAGCCCTGTGTAAAGAGCTTGAGAAGGGATGTAAATGTTTGTGATCCCAGAACTGAGGAGGCAGATATGACACAGATTCGTGGGGCTTCCCTGCCAGCCCATCTAGCCTAACTGGTGAGTCCTAGGTCCCAGTGAGACCCTGTCTCAAAATCAAGGTGGACAACCCTGAGGGACAACCCTCAAGGATGATTTCTGGCCTCCACAAACATGTAAAACACACACACACACACACACACACACACACACACCTTCACTCCACATAAACATACATACACCAATAAGATAAGAACATATCTTTTCCTTTTGTGTTTTACCAGATCCTCATTACCTCATTAATAACTCAGCACTTTGGGCGCTAGAGCTATAGCTCAGTAGTAGTGTTTGATTGCATTGTGTGAGGCCCCCAGTTTGATTCCCAGTACCGTGAAAGGGGAAAACAGTAGTAAATGCTGTTCACTACTGGAGCCATGAACTAACTTCTAATCAGAAACAAGGAAAAATGAAACAAAGAAAATCACAAACTGCATTCTGGGGGTGAGGGGTGGGACAGGGTAGCATAGGGAGTTGTGGGGTAGGGTTGGGTTTGTTTTGTTTCATTCCTCAATGAATCCTATGTAGTCCTGGCTGGCCTGGTACTCAATATGTAGCTCAGGCTGGCCTCATCATCATCCTTACCGGAATTCTCCTACCTTGGCCTAGCAAGCCCTAGGAATGACAGGTGAGCACCATTACACCTGCCTGTGTATTTTGTTCAAATACACGTGTAATAAGACTCAACAGTGTCAGTAATATTACAACATGACAAAACCACTGTTGAACTAAGGAGACCAGAATCTGAAAATGCACTTCATCTCCATAACCACAGACCATCCTCCACGGTGAAAAAGATCAACATTCTAACTTTGGAATGTAGTGACTACTAAATGCACTCATAATAAAACCACGATAATTATTAAACCAGAACAGAGGCTGTCTATATTTTGGTCATTCAGAGTCTTATTTTCTTTCATCTCTATATCCTCCAGCACAGCTGGATAGCTACTTATTTCTAAATCATTACCAATGTTTAGAGGGTGAAAGCTCTCTTTAAAACTCCCCTATGGGGGGTGGGGCTCCCCTGTGATGCAAAGTTGGAGCAACCTCAGTATCTTCAAGAACTGGATTTTCAATCACACAACTGAAAATAAAGCAGTAATACTGAATAGGCATTTCTGAAGCCAGAGAGCCAGAAGCCAGAAGCAAAGCTAATAATCAAAGTTTACCCAACACAGAAAGAGAGCTCAGACACTCGTAGTCAAAACTGGATGAGACCCAATAACTAGGCACATAGAATACTGTCACCATATAGTAACTGCTTGTTGTTCTCCAGAATAAAAATCTGCACACATAATTTTTATAGAACCAGATTTTGATTGTGCATATTAGTACTGTCAACCCTTTAGTAATATCAGGTTCTTAAGAAGCCAAAAGATTCTGAGAAATTGAAGGCATGGCTATCAAGGTTGTCATAGTAGTATTCTCTGTGTGACTGAGTTCTTCCTGGTGTATAGTTAATAATTCTTAATGGATGAACTATAACAGTCCAGGCCATATAAAGGCACAACTTTCTTCTTATTTGTGTGTGTGTGTGTGTGTGTGTGTGTGTGTGTGTGTGTGTGTGTGTGTGTGATAGGGTCTTACACAGCCTAGCCCAATATAGTAGCCAAAGCTAGCCTTGAAATCTTTGATGCTCCTGGTTCAGTCTCCCAAGTCTCGGGTTAAAGGTGTATACAGTTACGCCTTGCTCTCTTTTAGGTTTGTTTGATTTTGTTTTTAAACATTTTCTAATATTTAAAAAAGAACTACACTGTTTTTTTTAATATCCATATATATGAATAACACTCCCCACAGACAATACACACACACACACACACACACACCCTACCTAATTCCGCCAAAAGTTCCTTAGCAACTTAAACATTTCTTAGTACTTAGCTACTAGGTTTCAAGGAACTCATCGAATCCTTCCACCCACCATCACATGTCCTCCAAAGGTGTCATTATCGAAGAACTGGCATTGATTATCAGCATAGCATGAGCCCTCCATTTCTCCGTGGATCACAATGTTCCGGGTGAGAATTCCAACCTCAGCTCTCATGTCTATCCCGTCTATGATCTCACCAACATGCAGGTACTGGGGGGTCTCTGGTGATGAGGATGAAGGAAGGAAAATGTCAGAACAAAGAAAAGAAAATAAGAAATCATCCAGAAAAGCATTCTCCATCATTTGACAGTCTCAAGACATTATCTAACACGTAGACATGACCAACTCCCAGAAGCAGGGATCATAAAGACTGTCTGTCAATCCAACTGTTCACCCAAAGCCAGAACTCCTGCCACTGCTCTCAGCCCCAGGCAGTCAGAGAGCTTGCTCTACCCTCTGTAGCTCAGTCCTTCTGGAGTTGGCACTAAAAACATGGGACTGGCCTAACACTTTCCCCCTAGTTCTTTCACTTATTCTGCAGCCACCTGACAGACAAATGAAGAAACAAATGCCAGGGAATCTTAGAAGGAAATGCTCTTGCTATAGCATATCACATTGTGCTTCTACTTCAAACTAAGTGATCAGCATCTGCATACCAGTCAGTGCAGATTGCCATCTTTTTTTTTTTCTTTCTTTCTTTCCTGCTGTCTTTTAAATAGCTATCTTTTCTGGAAGTTTACAAATAATTTCAAAGAAGTTTATTTTCTCCATCTGATGTTTTTCTATTAAACTCAGGAAGGAGAGTGGGACTTTCCACAGATAGTAATGATGGATGGTATCATTGTAACTTGGGAGTTTCCTTTTTTTTCCTGTGTGCCTAGTATTATCAAAAGAAGGAAAAGTAGAAAACTGAACAAAACACAGAGGGGGGTGGGAAATGCCAACTCTAAGCTAAGAACTCTACTTGACATTTTACTACTACTTTTTTTAAAGCACAAAAATTTCAAACTTCAATGTTCTTTACTCAAAAACAAGCCTTGAAGGGTGTCTGTAGCTTTTGCTTTGTGGCATCACAGTATAATCATTGAGTACAGAAACAAGAAAGCAATGTGAAAGAAAGAGTGTGCTAAAACCCACAAGGGAAACTGAGTACCAAGGGCCTCTGGGCAGGAGCTGCAAGCAGGACAGGAGTAGGAACCTGGCAGATGGTAACCATTCTTTGCACTCACAGCTCACAGTAAGAATCTCGCTTTGAACTGCTGTCTTCCAAAAACTGTATTACTCACAATTACAGCAGGAGATAAAAGTCTAATCAAATTACCTTATTTGGTTCTATTTTAAATATGACTAAAGATCTCCTTTCTTTTTCAGTCAAGCAAGTGGGAATTCAAAAAATATTTTCTTTCCTTAAGAAAGGCTAATATTAAACGCAGTAGTGGCGAGCGCCTTTAATCCCAGCACTCAGGAGACAGAGGCAGGAGGTTCTCTGTGAACTGGAGGCCAGTCTAGTCTACAAAGTGACAGTTCTAGTCTTCCCAGATAGCCAGGACTACACGGGAAAACACTGACTTGAAAAACCAAAATAATAATAGTAATAATAATAATAACAACAAAAGAAAGACTAATATTTTAAAAATTAATTAGTCGTTAGGCAAGTTTATTATTATCTGACAATAAAAAAAATAGTAAGAAACTAGAATGAACTTTAGAAAAGTTTGCCAATTGTCATCTTTTTCCTTTAATAAGGAAATGGAGACCGAGGAACACTGATTACCTGCTAGGTCTCACCAGTGGTGGGAACACTGCCTGTAAGGGTAGCATTCTGTTCACCGCCCTCTGGACTCTAGCGTTCAGTGCACTCACCACTAAGATCAGGGTTCACGCTGATATGGGATTGGTCAGGAGAAAGGACTGCAGGAATCAAAGGCCAAGAAAAGTGCGTGTTTCCAAAGTAAAGTGAGGAGTCCAGTACCTTTAACTTTGACCTGAAAACGGCTGCACTCAGGGCATGGGAGAAGAGTGAACTCCTCTGCTTGATACATGGAATAGTCAGTGCTGGCAACCACAATTCGATTTCCGGCTTCCCAGCTGCTGACGTCATCCAACAGGTGAAGCTTTGCTCCATCTGCAATCTCCACCCGGAAACCTGAAAGAGAGATTCCTAAAACAAAAAAAAAACAAAACAAAACAAAAAAAAAAAAAAAAAAAAAAAAAAAACAGGCATCAAGAGAAGTGTTCTCTTAAACAAACAAATATGTGTCCCTGAGTTGCAAATCAAAAACTAAAATAAGTACAAGTTGACCATTTTTTTTTCTGTAATGCTAACCATGTGCTAATCGTTTGTCTCTAAATAATAAAAATTAAAAAATATGGATTCTGGCCCCCAAAGGAAGAGAGTCCATACACCAACAGCCATTTACAAATTGTTACATCAGTAAACTATTCTTTAAAATTAGTCTGAAGATTCTCAGTGCTGACATCCCGTGATTATTTCATCTCAGTACAAGAACTATAATACTATCATCCCCCAAAACATTCACATGTACTGGGAACACTTGAACAGAAGTGGCCAGACACAGAGAGGTCTGGAATAAATGTCCAGTGGCTTTATTTGGTTCAAATCATCAGAAGTGACAGGACTTTAGTACACAGACCATCTTTGTGCTACGAATGAAAGTACACTGCAAAACATGCCTCATTTCTGTGCTTTGTGACTGCTTTAGTCATTTCTTTTTAAAATGTATAAACAATGAAATCTATTTTTCCCAGTTCTAGACACTGTACGGCCCAAGGTCAAGGCACCAAAGTCAGTAAAGGCCGGCCTCTGCATGGATGCCACCTTCCCGAGGTTCTACACAGTGGAAGTGCAAACATATTCTGCACTCTTTGCCTAGGATGGGTTTCCACTCTTGCTATCTACCCCATATATAAAATGTTGGGAAACTTCTGGGGAAGAAGCTCAGTGAGTAGAACACCACACAGTGTGCATGGATTTGATCCCCCAGCACCCCAAACTGAAATGACAAGGAGTCTTTAAAGACTTCTGAAACATCCTTGCTGGAAGTAACCTCTGCTCTGGGCCTGGGCAAGCACTGGCAGTATGTATACCTTCCCCATCCTTGCAAGGGGCATCAGTGAAGGCAGCAGAGCAAAGCCTCTTGTGTATTGACTACTCTTTCTCTTCTTCACAGTACAGGTCAGTGCTGTCTGCCAAATGGATAATTATAGCCTGTTTGATACTTCGACCTACCAGTACTTGATTGTGACCTGTCTGCCTTAGCTCCTCTGGAGGATGACATAATGTAAATGATGGAAACTTCTGACTACTAACAGGCGGTATGGAAATTTGAATGAGAATGGCCTATGTGTTCATATATCTGAATACTTGGTTTCCAGTTGGAGGAACTGCCTGAGAAGAATTAGGAGGAGTGAAGGAGGTAGTCATGGGTTTTGAGTTTTCAAAAGCCCATGCCATTACCAGTTGGCTCTCTCGGCCTCATGGCTGTCTTAAGATGTGAACGCTCACCTACTGCTCCCACCGTGATGGTCATGGACTCTACCCCCTGAAACTGTAAGCTCCAAAGTAAATGCTTTACATTTGTAAGTTGCTTTGGCCACGACAGTTCATCATAACAATAAAAAAATTATTAAGGCCGGTGGTATCTCCAAATATTGCCTTTGAAGGTCAAAGCTGGTTCATATTCAGGCAGAGAAGACTGAAGTGCTAATCTCTCCTCTAACTTACACTTTGGTTTGCTGCATTCAATGTAGTGTTGACACTTCCTATAATATCTGTGATTTAAAAAAAAATGTCTGAGCAAAAAGCTTCTCAGGGAAATATGAATAGAATAAAAGACAGCTACTTTACAAAATCAATAGATGAGGAAAAACCCTCCTCCTCAAAGGTTCGTGTTCAAAAAATGCTTCTCCAGCATTAACTTACCTCAACTAGCAAGATGATGCTTACTCTAACAAACTGAAGAATATGTTTACTTGAGTTGGGAGAATAAAAAGACAGGAAATTTGGGCAGGAAACAAGAACAATTAGAATGGTCTCATAGTCTTAGTCAATTGCCCAGATAAAACCAGGACAAGTCATAAAGTTTGTCACTGGGAACTAATCTGCCCTGCCTGTGTATTTTCTTTTTTTTTTATTTGAATTACAAACAAGATTGAATTACATGACAATCCCAAATTACATGACAATCTCACTGCCTGTGTATTTTCTGCAAAGTACATATGTGTATGCATATACGCAAACACAAACATATATTCAAGTACCTAGTAAACTTTGGGTACATTCTCAGTATGTTTCTTGGACTCATATTTACTAATATAAATAATTCCAGCAATTATCATAGATTTTTATTTATAATATATTCTGTTTACAAATAAAAATGTTATAAATAAACAAAAAATGTTTACTTACAAACATATTTTCATTTCATATAGCATAACCTTCCAAAAATCGAAATAGGAGCTTAAGAACAAAGATCATCAGAAATCCTACCACAAATCATTACTCCAAATTTAAGGTTTCATTATAATAAAATACTCCATAAAGAGTTTCACATTAAATTCCAATACTTTTTTCCAAGATATGATACTAAATTTTGATTTGAATAGTCATTAGAATTTATTTCTCTTTAAAAAAAAAAAGTCAGAAAGGACTTAGGAACACCTTTATGTTTGATAATTTCTCACTTTTTTTCTAGGCTGAGGAGAAAATCCTGCCTATGATAATCTTCTCTGAGGAGAAAATCCTGCCTATGATAATCTTCTCCGAGGAGAAAATCCTGCCTATGATAATCTTCTCCGAGGAGAAAATCCTGCCTATGATAATATTCTCCGGGCACTCCTCATTGAAGTCTAAAAGGAAGTGAGTTCAGTGTCCCACTTCCTCTGGAGAATTTCCACCCTTCCAGAAAGCAGGGGTCACTGAGGATGTCAGCCCATGGCAGATGGTAGGAGTTCCCACTTCCAGAAATGAGCAGCCAATGTGACGTGGAAATGAAGGTCCCTACACAGGAAAAACTGACTCAGCCCTCGGTGTAGTCTCCTCCAGCCTGGAACTTTCCTGTAGACAGGACTGTTGAACACATACAGAACCAAACTCATGCTAGGGCTGGGGCTTACCACCTGTGCCAGAGACCACTCTGGAGGCCCGAAGCAGGGCTTGTTCCAGCTTCTCCTCCCATCAGAGATACCACTTCCTCTCCAAAACCCACTTTCTTAGAAGCAATATGTGAAAAGTTCTTGTCACATCTCAGAGATTCCATTTGTTTTTGTTTTTGTTTTGTTTTGTTTTTTTAGCATTTCATTTATGTTTTTTTAAATGTATAGGTGCTTCTATTTCTTGTCTTAATTACTTTTCTGCTGATGATGAAAGCAATGTAAAAAAGGGTTTGTTTCTCTCACAGTTTGAAGGGACACTCCATCATGGTAGGGAACTCACAGCAGCAGAAGCTTGAAGCAGCTGATCACACATTGTCCACCCACAGAAAGAAGAGCGGGACAAACCCTGGGCAGGGAATGGTGCCACCTGCAGTGGGCAGATCTTCCCACCTCAATAAACCTCACCCGCCCATGTGCCCAGAAGACAGGCGTCTGCAGAACTCACCAAGCTGACAACCAAGGTCAACTACCACACTACTTAATTAGACACTATGACTCAGGATCCAGAACACAGTCCAAGCAGGGTTGCCTAAACTAAAATAGATCAGTAGCTAGTCTTGAATTTACAAGATTTAAGTTTAGTAGGAAAATCAGCTCCAACTCTAGCTATCAAATCTGCCAAGACTGACACACAGTCTTGTCCTACAGTCATCTGTCACAGTCCTTACCCATGTCTCACAGCGTTTAAACCACCTTTGCCTACCTTCAATCCATTCACTATAAGCCGTCACGGAGAACTTCTGACCATCCAAGGTGTAGAATTCTCCTTGAGCCAGGGCCTTCCCACCAGTGCTGTGGTTCTCATAGTTTCTCACAGATTCATTGCAGGAAGAACTTCCACCATCAATGACACCAACTAAAGCCCAAGCTTGCCTAGCAGGACAACAGCAAACACATCTGGTTATTTGTCACAGAAATGACCCAAGCCCTAGACATGGATATGGTGGGAGACTGGTTTTCAACATCTGTATTTCATTTCTCAAGTTTCCCATGAGGCTGCAGTTTCTAGGCTTTTGCTGAGGTAACTGACATCACAGAAGGAAATGTACCTGATTTTTCAGAAACTTGTTTTTCCAGCTCTCACAGATGAAACAGTGATGACTATGGCATCAGTTAATCATGAACTTCCTTCCTGGACATACACATGAGCATGTGTCATTCTAGACATAAATCCCCTGCTGTCTCCTAAGAAGACTGCCCCTCTGCTCTTTTGTAGTGTTTGCTGGTTGTTTTGTTTTGGAGGCACGTTCTTAGGTAACCTAGGCTGGCACTAAATTACGTAGTTGAAAGAACCATCTTAAATTCTTGACCCTCTTACCTCCATGACCAAAGTGCTGAGACTGCCATCACACCTGGCTTCTCCATTTGTTATTTTTTGTTTGGTTGCTTTCATGATATTACCAGAGAGAGAACTCATGGCCTGAAAGCTTCCAAAGTTAATGCTGAATGTTCAGGTAGATCAATTCAACAATGACTTGAGCAGTGGCTCTCAAGCCTTAGCATTAGAATGACATGAGGGAGAATTGATAAATCAGATCACTGTCCCACTCCCCTGCCCCCACAGCCTAAGAATTGGAGGATCAAAGAATCTGCATGTCTAGCAAATTTCCCAGTGATGCTAAATGATGCTCCTAACCACACTCTGAGAACCCTTAGGGTCTAGGGAGAGGGCTAGGTCAGTAGAGAACCTGATGGAAAAGCATAAAGACCTCAGTTCAGATTCCCAGCACCTCATAAAATGCAGGGTCCAGAGGTACAAATCTGTGATCCTACCATTACTGAGGTGGACATGGGTAGATCACTATAGCTTACTGTCTAGTTACCCTAGGAAAATCTGTGAGCTCCAGGTTCAGTGGAAGGAAGGTCCTGTCTCACTATATGAGGTGGAAAGTGATTGAGGGAGACACTAAAGGTTGTCAGAGGGCCTACACACACACACACACACACACACACACACACACACACACACACACCTACCTACCTCTGACTTAGAGGTCACAGTTTACAACAGTAATTACCACTCTTTTGACTGGGGTCCTACCCTTTGAAAACCTGATCTAAGACACACTGAGCATTAGTAGTTTTTAATGTCTATATATTTAGTCACAGTTGAGAATCACTGAGTTAGAAGCTAAGTTTCTAAACATCCTTGAAGCCACAGAATTGCTATCCTAGAGATTTTCAGTTTTACAAACGATTACCTGTAAAATGCCGTTCTACTTCCACAAATAACAAATTCTTAATGGACTCGCCCCAGCTCGTGTCCCAAGTTAGTCAAAGAAAAAAAAGAAAAATAGCAACAAAAGCCAGGAAACTTGTCTTAAGAAGCCAGGAAACTTGCCTCGAGCCTTCTGGTTCAAAACATGAAAAGAAAAATGTGAACTTCATACTTTGAGGGGAAAAAAAAATACTAAAAGTAATCTATGCCAGACAGATGGCCAGATATTCAGAGAAAAGGTTCACTAAAGCAAGCCCACAGCCTTCCAAGTTCTGCAGCTGCCCTGGTGAGGATTAGAGGCTGAGAACCAGGCAGAGCTTTTTATACCCTCAATGCAGCAGAAAGGCTCAAACGAAAAATAGTATCTCAACTATTATCTCCCAGTAGAGAGGAGATGAAGAATGTCAGAGGCTCCCTTTCCTTCCCAGAACTGCCCCAGCCACTATGAAACAATGTTCTGTTTCATATAGCATTATCTCTAGAACATTCCCACTTCCCCCTCCACTTGTGGGAAATTTCAATGCACTGGAACACAATCTGCAAAGGGGTGCCTGTTCATGTACCCTGGAGACAATGTCAATACAATGGAAGGCTGGTGAACACCATTCTAACTTCTCCACTAATGAGTGGTGATATTTTAAAGGCAATTTAGAAAGCAAAGTCAAGACAGTTACAGCCAATGGTGACACAGGATCAGAAGCAATGATGACATAGAAGAACAAAAGATGTCACTGATACACCAGGAAACAAAGGAGGTACTCTGTGCATTTGTTTAATGATGCAAAGATGTGTTGTATTCTTTTATGTTGCATTTGTTTAACTCTGTGATGCTATTGTTACTTTGCCTGTCTAAAGCACCTGATTGGTCTAATAAGAATCGGAACAGCCAACAGTGAGGCAGGAGAGAGAATAGGCAGGGCTGGCAGGCAGAAACAATAAATAGGAGAAATCTGGAAAGAAGAGATCCAGGGGCAAGAAAAGGAGGACATCAGGGACAGCTACCCAGCTACACAGCAAGCCATGGAACAAAAAGTAAAGAAAGGTATATAAGACAAAGATAAAGAGCCCAGAGACAAAAGGTAATTGGGATAATTTAGGAAAAGCTGGTGAGAAATAAGCTAAGGCTGGGCACTTATAAGTAAGAAAAGCTTCTGCGTGTGATTTATTTAGGAGCTGGATGGCGGGCCCCCAAAAGAAAAAAAGAGTAGAGTAAAACAAAACAAAACAAAACAAAACAAAAAACAACTATAACTCTGGTTTGGATCTTCAATGTTCCCCAAAAGGCCCATGTGTTGAAGCCTTGTTTCTAGCCTATGGGGCCACTAAAGAGTAGCTGAACTTCTAAGAGGTGGTGGAGAGAGAGGGGTTGGAGTGGCTAAGGGCTGCAGAGAAGTTAAGAGTATCAGCTGCTCTTCCAGAGCTCCAGTCTTAAGTCTTAAGGACCCGCACTAGAGGAAGCAGCTCACAACCTAGCTCCATAGGAACTGACAGCCTCTTTGGGGCTCTAAGGACACATGGACACACACACACACACACACACACACACACACACACACGTACGTCACTAGGCTTCTGGCATCCCAGGGTCACTCTTCTCACTCTGCATCCTAGGCACCATGGGGTTAGCTGCTTTACCCACTATCATTACTGTTGTGATGTTCCTTACCACAGGCCTAAAGCCACAGGGCCAAGTGACCATTGACTGAAATCTCTCAAACTGTGAGCCAACAGTAATCTTTCCTCCTAAGTTAACAGTCTTAGATATTTATTTTGTCACAGTTACTGAAAGTTGACTAACACAACAAGCATCTAACTTTGCCAAGAAAATGTTTCTATTCTTTGGTCTATGCACTACAGGAACAGGTACACAGGCATATCAGTAGTTAAGTAAAGGAACAGTTACAGAAACACAAGGTAGAAAGCCATTCTGATATCCACAGGAAGGAAAAAAAAAAAACTGTAGTATATTCATTCAATAGGAAATAAGCTGGGTTTAATGGCACATGTCTTTAATCCCAGAACTTGGAAGGCAGAGGAGGGTGGATCTCTCTGAGTTTGAGGTCAGCCTGGTCTACATAGTTCCAGGACAGCTAGAGCTACACAGTGAGACCCTGTCTCAGGGAGGGAGGGACACAAACTATTTAGTCTGCTACCATTTATCTGAAACTCAAAAGGGAACTAACCTAAACCTCAGTGTGCTCCCTAATTGAGGAGAAAGCTTATCTTTGGAGATGGAAGGAATGACAGTGCATAGCAATGGTGGTAGGAGGGCCATGGTCTGCTGGCAATGTGTTGTTTCTTGGCCTGAGTGGTAAATACATAAGGATCACCTTGTAATCTATCATTAAGCTTTGCATTCTTATTATAGCATTTCTCCACTTGTGTGTTATCAGAGTAAGCCCTCTGAGGCTTTGCTCATGATGTCCTGTGTCTAGACCTCCATTCTTTGCTACCAATACAGCACACTCCTCGAGTTCCTCAGGCCTCTTGCCTCCAGAGCATGACTATTATTTCCCCATGCCAGCTGTTGGCTGTTGGTTTCTCCTTCTTGTGTTTTGACATCTCGAAAGAAAGGTGAATAAACAGCATTGTTTGTAATAGCCAGAACCTGAAAGCAACCTAGATGCCCCTCAGCTGAAGAATGGATAGAGAAAATGTGGTACATTTACAAATGGCATACTACTCAGCAGAAAGAAAAAAAAAAAAAAAAAACATGGAATCTTGAAATTCGAAACCAAATGGATGGAACTAGAAGAAACCATCCTGAGTGAGGTAACCCAGTCACAAAAAGACAAACATGGTATGTACTCACTCATATATGATTTTTAGACATAGAGCAAAGGATTGCCGGTCTACAATACACACTGCCAGAGGAGCTAGGAAACAAGGAGAACCCCAAGAGATTGCATAGTCCCTGGAAAAAGGGGAGGGGGACAAGAACCCCTGAACAAAGTGGGAGCATGAGGGGGGTGGAGAGGAAGGAGATGGGAAGGGAAGAAGGGGAGAGGGAGGAGAACAAGAGGACTGAGACAGGGGAGGAAT